ATGTCCGCCTGTGTGTTGTCTCATGTTTCCTTTGGGACTTCATCCAGGCTGTTGCTAGGTGCCGTGACCTCCTACTTTCATGGATGTAGAGGGTGAACCCTGCGAAGAGGAGGGCTGTATTTTATTTCTGCACCCTCCCCCTACCCTAAACATCCTGTCTCACATACAGACTGTATACCACAAAATCCCAATGGACTTCGCCTGTGGCTAGGCTTGTTCACCAATATTTCACCACAAGGCACAATATCTACTCCCAACACTAATTATCTCTCTTTGTCTCTTCGACCAGAGGAAGCAGAGGAGTTTCTGATTTTTAGGGTAGTATTTTCCCCCCATGAATAAAGTGTTTAGTATGACATCATTGCCAACTGGTCTTTAACACTTCCTACACTACAGTTTTTAAAAGAAATAATCCTTTCCATCAACTGCACTCCAGATGCCCCAACCCCCACTCCACCTGCAGGCTGTGTGGAGTGGGGCCCAGTATGGAGAGGACAAGCCGTTCTGCTGCCTTGCTGCCAAAGGTACTCTACTTAAGCTGAACTCCAAGGAACTAATCTGGAGAGGGGAAGGACACCGATTTGCATGTCTGGCCAGATACCTCAATGTGTATGTGTGTGTGTGTGTGTGTGTGTGTGTGTGTGTGTGTGTGTGTGTGTGTGTGTGTGTGTGTGTGTGTGTGTGTGTGTGTGTGTGTGTGTGTGTGTGTGAGAGTGTGTGTGTGTGTGTGTGTGTGTGTGTGTGTGTGTGTGTGTGTGTGTGTGAGAGTGTGTGTGTATGTGTTGAACAAAGTCCATGGTAGAAATGGGCCAGCAGAACTTCTAAGAAATGGCTGACCTTTGATTCAACCGTTGTATTACTGCTTTGGACATGCTTGCCAACGTGTGAAAACTCATGTCCAAGTTAGTTTGGAGGACTTCCAAGCATCCTATTGGAACTGAATGTGTATAGAGTTCCATTCAGTAGTCGCTTTTTGAGCACATATACTATACTATACATTGCTGTTTATCCAACCTGGCCACCTTCATATGTTGTCACTCGGCATGACCCTTTTCATCCTCACTCATCATCCTCCCAGCTGCAATTGGCATTTGTCACAGTCAGCAGTTTACATCAAACAAAGCCCAAGGCAGAGCAACAAAAGAGAGAAGACATTGGGCAAACAAACTGGGAGGCAGACTAAATAACTGCGGCTTGTCTGCTGCGTGAGGGAAACACAACCCGGTGGTGTGTGTGTATTACTGGTTGTGGCTCTGCATTTGTGTGTGTGTGAGCGTGTTCTTGTTGGCAGCAAACATGAGAAACAAAAGTGTCTCAGCTCCATGCATATCCACTAGGCCGCAGCTGTTTTCAGTATTTCAACTTAATGCAGGTGTCAGTGCTGTTGTCTTTGTGGAGCTGTCGTTGTGTGTAAAACTTCTTCGCCTCCTCTCATATAAATCTACTTTGAAAATGTATGAAAGCATGCGTGTGTGTTCATTAACAGGAGTACAATAGCAGCACTAGTGCCGGTACTTCAGCACAGAAGCATCACTCGGTTGTTTTAACAGAGTAAATTAGAATCTGATGAAAGCTTAGATGGCTCACAGGCTTTTCTGTTGTGTTGACCAGGCAAACACAAAGGAATAGCCTTTTAAACTGGCTGGAGGACGGGACTAGAATAAGAACAAGCCAAATGCATGTTGATCTCATACTTTATTATCATATTTTCTTGACATTAACAAGGCTTTACAGTGAAAAGTGCTTTACATTAGACGAATGGATAAAACAAAGACCAATTGAGGCTATAATAGTAGGACTACAATACGGTAAAATATGAATGTAGAAAAATAAAAATAGATTCAAACAATAGAGGTTAAATAGCACAATGTGGTTGCAATTGTGTCATCAATTTCCTCTCAATTTGGAAAGAAAGCAAAGACCCTCAGCAGAAGTTTTTGTTTTTGTAACATTCCCATAACCCCCCGCGGTCTGTGTCATAAACTGAGTTTGTCGGAGAGTCCACTCTGAAGTGTGAATGGTCAAACAGGTTGTATCAGCTGTCTTGGACACAGCAGTTGAGCTAACAATGGGGGGAGATCTTCAGAGGTGGGATCCCAGTCTGGGCTTCCCCAGCTGGGCTTATTTTCAGCTGAGATTGGCCTTCACCAGCAGGAGGTCATACCAGTGTAAGGACACCTGAGAGCAAGCTGCTTTAATAGCCCTGTTTACAGCAGCTCACGCACCAGTATAGGGGGACATTAGGTTCCCATAGCTGGTGGCCAATATAAACCACTATCTTAGAGTCCAACCAGAATACAATCTTGCTGAATTCTCCACTTTCTGACAAGTATTTCCCAAATAGCCACCATCAGCGTGACCTGCTGCTGTTTTGTGTCTGACACATCAGAAAAACATAAATAAAGCCTGTGCTCATCATATAAAACTGGTCAGAATCCTTCATCCATCTTCATGACAAGTCACTCATCCGTAAAAACAGAGCAGCATTATCTCTTGGAAACATCTGGACCCAAGTCATGTCTTGACCCCTGTTTGTGAGTGTCTGCGTGCGCGTGGTTGTGGGTTTGGCGATTTATGTGTGAGAAGTGTTTATGTGTGTTTTCATTCTTGTACCCTCAGCACATGTCCTATGCAGAGTACAGTGGAACCCCTATGGAAAATACACACAATGCTAATGGGGGCTGACAAAAGTACAATCTGATTCCAAAAAAACAACCCTGTGAGAAACAAGGCCATCACATGTCCATCCACCTGTGGGTGTTTTTTTTAAAACACGTTAGAGAAGGACACAGAGTGTGATTTTGTTTCAAGTTAAAAGTAGGTATACAATAAATACAAAAGTAAGAAAAGTAAATCATATTTCAAATCTGGCATTCTCATTTCATTAAACCAAAGGTCGTTGGCCAATTTATTGATAACGTATGTACATGTTCATACATTTCTGAACCATAAAACGGTTATTTTAAATATAAGACCTGCAAAATAAAGTTATACAATGAATAGGTTGTGGTAAAGAGTTTTTTCAGTCAAATGGTGTAAGCTGACAAAAAAACATAGATACAGTACATGTCTGAGCTTTATCTGACACCTAGTGGCCAGTTGTGGTTTGGTTCTGAAACTGCTGCTGCAATCTGCAAATTGCAATTTAAGTCTAAATGCACATTCAGGAAAAACCCATATTTTGCATTAAGGTTTATCCCTCTTATGATTCACATTTTCCATTCATTCATATTTGTCAGCTATATGGTTATCCATTAAAACGTAACTTATCAGTGTACACAAGCTTTTTAATCTGGTAATGACACTACCAAATTGTGTTCTTTTCCACCTAAATGTTACAGTAATATGTCATTTGTATCCGTTAAATTGGCAACTGAATATAAAGTGAATTATTGTAATGTTCTTCCATATTTGAAAATGTGTTAGAGATTTATTTCTATTCAGCCTTCAGTGTGCATAGTTGGAATTATTGCATCACTTTGGCAGAACTATTCACAAAACGAAAATAAGAGGATTTTAGGACAGGATATTTTATAGCAAACATGGTGCCAAATGGACTATGTGAGAGAGGTTGACATTGGAACCCTGCATTATGTTTGCTGGGGATTCTGTCTCTGGATGCTCTTGTTAATCAGTTTATCACTTGAGCTTTTGTGTTGTTTTTCCTCCCAGATGTGTGGTTTAACCCCAACCAGACCTTATTATGTGTCCTCTGAACCTGTCTCTATGGTTACTATAAGGTTGAATAAAAAGGTCACTAGGGAAACAGATGGCAATCCAGCCTAATAACAACGTCTTTAGGTGCATGTGTTTGTGTATACTGTAAATGTTGTCTGAAGAGAACTGAGCAACAGTCAGTAGAGGAAAACATTTAGTTTTATATCTATTTGTTTATTCCGTCTAGTCTAACAGAGACAACCAAATACAGAACAAAAATAATATTGTTTGCTTTGGTTTAGCGATATATTGAACTTCACTGTTATAGAAATGAGTGACCTCTCCAAATGATTTTGCACCTGTTCCCAGTCAGTTAGATACCTCTGCAGTGGGCCACATCGGCAGCTAGTTTCCCTTGCTGATTTGATGCCCCACTTTACTCTCCCATGTATTTTCTTTCCTGTTGCCATTGTTTTATTTCTGCAGATATATTTTTATACTCTTAATTTCAGGGGTGGGGGAAGCGAGCAGGAGGGAGCTTACAAACTGACAATCTGATTTGATTGAAAACACGGTAAATCCCACGCTGGCCCAAGCATTCAATCTCACATCACCACTGACACACTGCAGCCCCATAAACCCACTTCTTAATCCCAAAAGCCTTTTTATTTTGTGGTCAATGTGCTACCCATTGCTACAAATCCCCCTCTGCCACTGTCTCACCCAGCCCCCACCCCATGTGGTTGTGTGTGTGTGTGTGCAGGGATTCGTCTGAGTTCAGGCACAGCTGGCATCATCATCCTCTAAAATGAATGTTTTGTGATGCACTGGTGGGAACAGAGTACCTGCACAAGGTCAGACAAACAACCCGTAGACCTGTGCAGCCTGCTGGTCTGCTGTGATTGGCATTCTATACGGTTCTGCTGCTGATGCGGCATATAAAGGACTTCCATCCTATTTCTGGATACAAATTCAGATCTACGTTATTGGACCAAAAGACTTCTTAACCATCTCCTCACTAGCGCAGTGCACTCCAGTGTGCAGCCTTGAAAAGTGTGCCAAAGGACGATGTGAGATGCCCTGAGAAGAGAAGAGGAATATATATTTAGTCCATTATGGAACTGAGCCACATCCCAGAAGGAAAGTTGCTGTTTTGACAAGTTATTTAAGACTTATCTGGAGGTTAAAGACAACTTACGTTTTTCTTAATTGTTCTGGAAAAATATTATCACTCTGTGGCAGACAGAAAAAGTTTTTTTTTTTTCCCTGCCTTCTTCCAGTCTCCTCTGCATCCTGCGAGAGGGACACACCAGAAACCCACTCCCACCTTTCAAACTCTCTGCTAGTTTACAATTATGTTGAATCCTATCACGCCCGGAGCCAGAGAATTCCATGACGGACATGTGAATTAAACATTATTAAAGGATATAAAGAAGAAGTGCGCGCTCTCGGCGAAGGGCAGCATCAGCACCAGCATCCAATGCGCGTCCCCGCCCCGGTAGAGGCTGCCCGAGAACCCGGGAAGAGGAGTTGGAGCTGCGCGAGTTAAAGTTGGGCCAAAGGGGGGTGAGAGGATGCTGCAGAACAATCTACGATCTAAATAAGATAGCCTGTACGGAGAAACGTGTCCTAAGTGAAGGATGACTTGCAAAATACTGAGCATATGCCTCTTATTTTTGGGTTTTCAACATTGCTCATCACGTAAGTCCTGTGAAACTGAAATTGTTCATTTATTATCGGCTGTTAGAATAGTATTAAAGTGTTTATACGTGCCATATCTGCATATTGTTTAACGTCTGATTGTATGCTTGAGAGAAAGTTAACATTCGGTTATAAGTGGAAAATACCACCGGGGGGCAAAATGTAGCCAGAGGTGTTGCGATCGTTGAAGGGCACGTTGCGGGAAAATCCTTTAAGTGCAGATCATTATATTCACTGGTTGTGTTGGCTATTGGCATTTCAGTAAAGCATTATTATATGGGACCTCAGAACTAAAGTGTGGAAGATAACCGCGTCGGTCCTGCGGAAGGTGCGCATGGTGATCCCCTCGCGCTGCACTGTCTGCATTGCAGTGCTTTCCCTCGGCCAGCGTGCAAGTTTCTGCCGCGTGCGACTTTATCTCTCGACTTCTTCTCCAAATCACGATGATGATTGGGAGTCTATCTTGTTTTTAATATCAAATCGCTTTGATCATGTATGTTGTTCTGTGGTGAAAATGTGATTTTATTTTTTAAAGAAGCGGTTGAGACACAGCGTCCTGAGTGGGACCAGCCCACTGCAGTACTTTTTTTGGGAAGCCCTGCGCCACCTGTCCACAGATCGATGCATGGTGCACACGAAGAGCTCATATTCACCTGCAGGGAGATAAAAACACAAGCAGTCATGTGTTGGGTTTAGTTGGGCAGTGATGGGGCTGTGTTTGAGGTGAAAATTAGATCAGGGGAAATGTTAGATCTGCATTTCTATCACAAAGCTTGTATGCATACTAATAAGCTTTATGAGTGATGTCATGATGACTTCACAGGTTCTTAACTATCCCAAAACAGCGCATTGCATGACTCAGTATGTTGGCATCAGTTGAAGATCAGGAAGGAGGGATGCTTTGTCATGTGACTTCCTATAGGCAACTGTATTTTGTGTACAGTATTACTGTGTTAATGATACACTATATTGTGCACTTTTTCTGTACAGTTATTGACACTGGAAATGATGTCACCATGCTGCTGACATGTCACATATTCTGTGAGTGAAAGGTACTATCATACGTTATTGTGAAGAGCATTAAAAAGTGAATGAACAGGAAAGTCTGCAATTAACTGGCTGTTGGTAAACATCATTGGATCCCAGAATGCTATGCAGTAAATGGATGGCCTGTGGGCTTGTTGTATATCCTGTTGGTACTTTATTGCAGGCCTGGCCAATATTTTATCTGCTCTGTGGAATTGCACAGGAGTTCTGCCAGATTAAAATGGAGCATCAGAGTACAGTGGCCCAGCCTGGGGTGGGGCTGAGGTTCACTTACTTGTGTGTGCGTGTGGAAGAGTGTGATGTCAATGCATAAATCTGAAGTTCATGCTGTGTTCATTCAGTCATGGTAAGCAGTCCAGGCATCAGGAGACTGTCAGGGGAATTGATATCAAGGGACAAAACCAAGCTGTTTGTTTCTTTAAGACAAAGAATCTTTGACATCTTATTTCAGATTTATGTCGGAATGTGATGCCCTGCATAGTTTGTGTTTATATCTCAGGCAGTGGTCTGACGCCACCCACTGTGATGCCGGCCTGGGTATGAATGATTTATTATACCTCCTTCAATAGAGCTTGCTGTATTTTACTACCATTTTGCTGTTCTGTTGCAGTATTTGCATCAGGATCCTGATGCATTGTTGATATTTTGTTGCTGGACATCTGCATTCAGACATACAGGGTTTTCTGCCTGAATCCCCTGCGGTCACGTGTCAAAGGCTAGTGACAGGCTGAGGAGGTGCATCTCTGCATATATATGTGTAACCTGCTGTAACGATGTGTCAGCCCAGACAGACCAGCCTACACTTACAGCAGACTGATGATTCAGCAAGAGTGGTGCTCGAGCTCTATGCAGCCACACTGTTCCCCACAGCCCCTAAATGATAAATGGAGAAAGAGACTACTCTGCAGAGAAGGGGGGGGGGGGGCTTTGGCTGTCAGGGGAGAAAACCTGGTGACTGGATGCTCTGCACAGGCTATAGGTACATTTTAGCTATTGCTGCATCATGACAACGCCCACTCCAGGAGAGAGTCGCAGAGAGAAGTAAAAAAAAAGAAGCAAGATGATAAGCGAGAGTATGAGGTGTGACGCAGGGAGAGCAGGAAAGAGTGGATTATTTTAGGAGTTGGAATAAAGATAAAGAGAGAGGGCGAAGGAAGAAGCAAGGTGTTTTATCAGTGGGGGGGTGGAGTGCGTGACAGTGAGGAGGGGCTGCTGAGTGGCCTGGGTTAACCTGCTGCAGTCTAGGATGGGGCTCTCCACATTTTTAAGTAAAATTCCTTTACCCTACTGATTGAGGAAGTAAAACAGATCAATACACTTAAAGCCATTAGTGGCAAATTGACTCTGCCTGTGTAAGTGCAGCAGAGCTTCTACTAAATATTTTTGTTTGATTAGCCATTTGAGCAGTGGATCTTTACAAATGGCTCTACAGAGAAGTAGTGAGGCGGCAGATATATTTCATAGAGTATCCGCAGTATACAGTAGCAGGAAATTCAGTATGGTGAGGAAACCTCTTAGGGAGGCAGACAGAAGCAGAAAGTCAAGGTCACATTTCCCTTGCTCAGCACACTACCTCCAATGTGCAGCGTGTCCTTGCACGAAAGGTGACAGAATTCATTTGATTTACCCCTTCTCACCAGATGAGGCAGAACATGTTGTATTGTGTATGGCTCTGGAATGTTTCATGTGTTATATAAGATTAGCGGTTAGGCAGTTGACAAAAGTTCTCCACTCTCTGCATGAATTGGTATGATCACTCAATCTTCCCAGCCTGGCAAAGTAAATTAAAATTAGACTCTATGCAGCACCCTTCCTCTACTCTCTCTATCTGCAGCTCGCATACACATTCTGCTAACTGCTCTTGTTTCTAGACTTTTCTTGTGCTCCGTGACCTCTGCAATTGTAGGAAAAGGAATTATAATGACAAAACATCTGCTTATCGGTTAACAGCTCCAAGTGTTAAGAGAAGATCATACTAATAAGGGAGGAGGAAGATGAGGGTTGGATAGGGAACAGCTTATATTTACCTTATTTCTATTATAGTTGGTTCTCTGTGGATTAAAACATTGCAATTTATTTGTATCTGCTTACTTTCATACTCAAGTAAAACCCCATCTGTTTCAGTCTATCTATATTAAATCTGTTGTGGCTAGAGAGCATATTCCACCTCTTAAAATGAGACAGTGCTTCTCTTGCAGCTTGGGGCGAGGACTATGTACATTCATCCCCAGCAGTGACACAGGCAGGATTAGGTAGAATTATGGTCAGTTTTATTAGCCATGGACTGGAGAGCGAGTCTGAGCAGATGGCTATGGTCTTATCAGTCTCATAATGCAGAATAGCAACTCAACATGACAAAGCGACAACCTTAGATTGCCTTTGACTTTACTGCCCATGAAACAGCATGTGTTTTATAGAGGAACTAGAGAAAATACCGACATGCAGACACTGACAGGCACGTACACACACCCACAAAGACATTCATGTGACGCAGCAACATTTGTATTCTGTGTCTGCAACACCAAACAACACAGGACCATACCTCTTTATAAAATAGATAGGGGGTGTTGCATAACCCTATATGACATTCACAGTAGTTTATCTCAGAGATAACATGCATAATCAGAAGTTGTCTGTGTGATATTTCACAGCTCGTTCCACCCATCCCATGAAGAAATGATGATGATGCACAGGACAGATTTATGAGCCTTGGTTCACCACTTAATAAGAAGGTTATTTAGGGACTGTGCTTTACTGTGTAACATGAATCTGTAACCTCACTATCTGTTTAACTTTACCAGCAGAAAGACTTTGTGCTACGCTTTGATTAAATGTATATGGTTCCGGACAAATTTGTTTTTTATGTCTAATGGAGCGTGCACTAGCCTCTAATGAAACTTCAAATGCTCTTCTCTCATCGAGCTGTGCGGCTGTGCCAGCCTTTGTTGCCCAGAACTGTATCATTTTGAAAGCAATGTGTGAATGCTGCATTATGACAAATATTTTGCAATAACTTCTGACCTTGACGTCTTTCTTATTGTCACTGCAGGAGAATGTGTTGATCCACTGATCACCGGGCTCTATGCCTCTTCCTTCCTGGCCTCCTCCAGATATAACTTTCTTTACTCTGCCAATTTTGCCAAATTATATGGTAAGTCGTTTAAATGAATCCATAGATACACACCATTAACCTCACAGAACTTTCTAATTGCAGATGTTTTGACCTATCACAGCAGGAAAAGCACGAGTGTAGCTATTAGCATAAATAACAGCTATGGTCACGGTTCACATGTCAAGGCACATTAATGTTATTAGTCACACCTGCGCTTTAAAAAGTTAGAGTGCCAAAGGTGAGAAAAGAGTATTCCAACAATCGAGCATCTGTATGCTACCAATAGAGACTTATTCAACTCCCTGTGGGTTATGAACATATAGATAATCTACTATTTGTTTATATGTATATACTTTCACTTTATCAAAGGATATTGACCTCACATTACATAATAGCAGTTGAGGCAACGATTATAGTGAATGTGTGGGATTTTAGTTAGAAACTCTGCTTACAGATATATATAGCCCACAATATTATTCATTGGATACAAGTAGCTATACATTAGCTTTATGTTGTGTTATCTGCAAAATCACAAGTCTTGTCCAAATGTTTTTATTTTTCTTAGTCTTCGCCCTGTGTCAAATGCCCTTGTTATTTTATAGGGTATAATTAACATTATCCTGTATTATTTTGTTAATCTTAAATTAACTAAAAGTATTTGCATTTTACTCTCATAAGTCAAGGAAAACCATAACTATTCTAATAAAGTATTAGTAAATGAAAATTGTCAACATTTTAGTTTTTTTAAGTAGTTCAACTCAGCTTTCAATTAATGTAGACTAGCCAACATATTGCTGTAGTCCTGATATGAGATTAAAACATTTTTAATCAACAATAATGTAGTCTGATTATGTGTCTAATGACGTTTGTGCCGTCTCCCTATTGGCTTGTATTAGTCTTGGGAAAAAGACAGCTGTATCATATTTAGTACACTGCCTCCAGATAAAAAGCTCTTCTTTCCCCCCCTCAGGCAGCAGTGGCTGGTCCCCCTCCCCCAGGGACAGGCAGCCATGGCTGCAGGTAGACCTGGGCAGGAAGTACCGACTAGTGGCCATCGCCACCCAGGGGACCTTCAACTCATATGACTGGATCACCAAGTACACGCTGCTCTATGGAGACCGACCGGACTCCTGGACCCCCTACATCATGGAGGGAGGAAACTCTGTAGGTGTCTCTGAGCCAGAATAATGAGGGTGGGGTGAGGGCTGTAACAGGGATGAGGAGAGGATTAACGAGACAGATGTAATCTAAACAGCCGATTTTCCTTTCAATGGGTGTTTTTGTATTTATTGTCCCTTGCAGAAACAAAGACAGCACAGCATAGTATCTCTCTCAACAATGACAAAGCTAATCTCATCATCAGTTCGTCTCCAGCCCCTTAATAAGGCGTGAACACCATTGCAGTAACTCAATAACTCTCTCCCTTGTGTCCCGCTCTCTTCTGTTTGCAGACGATGCCTGCAAACTGGAATTATTATCAGTTGAGGAGAAATGTCTTCCATTACGCATTTACTGCTAAACACATTCGTCTGCTGCCTCAGGCGTGGAACACCGAGAACGGAGGGAAGATCGGCGTGAGGCTGGAGCTGTACGGCTGCCCTTATGGTAAAACATGACTGATGTTCTCTACCCAGGGATTTACTTTCTCTGATTCACATCCAGGGACATTTTGAAATCCAAGTTCTTAATCGTATTACGTATTATGCCACAAAATGTAAGTGCCAAATACACCACAATATGTTACTAATAAATGACTAAGCTCAGTATTAATCTTACTCTGGAACATCCATGCAAACACATCTGATGAGCTCCAGGAAAAGTGCCATGGATTTATTCAGACAATCCTTTAACCCTTAAAAAGTGCTACACAAGACTATATATACACATCCCATCCTCTTTAGTAATATTGGGATATTTTGTCTGCAGATTCCTATGTGCTACAGTACAACGGCGATGACTCAGTGGTGTACATGTACCCAGAAAAGAGGTACCGCACACAAAACGACCACATTGCCATAAACTTCAAGACTCTGGAGCAGGATGGTCTGCTGTTACACAGTGAGGGGATTCAAGGAGACCTCCTCACCTTGGAGCTGAAGAGAGGCCGTCTTTACCTGCACATCAGCCTAGGTACAGCTCCAGTACTTTGTTGAAAGAGACCTTATTGAGTTATGAGCGGAAAAAATATTGGCCTATGAGACAATGACATCCGCTAAAAAAGTTCTACAATAATACCTTGAGCATACTGTAGGTTTCTTTATTGACCTCCCCCTGTCCTTGCCATCTGGTTTTTAGGAAGCAGTATAATACATAAAGTCGATGGTCGAACAACACTGACTGCTGGCAGCCTGCTTGACAATCTACACTGGCACTATGTTACCATCAAGCGCGTAGGTCGACAGGTCAACTTCACAGTGGACAGTCACACAGTCACAGCCATCTGTAAAGGAGAGTTTACAACCCTGGATCTGGATACGCAGGTACCTCATATCAACACAAGAGAAAACCCCCCAAAACATAATAGCACCTCTTTAGGTCTTACTTTTGGCATTTACATGGAGTATTCATTTGAATGGTTCATGATGATGACCATGTGCCTCAAGAATACAAGAATACATTATTGATTTTCTACCTCTCTCCTAGTTATATGTCGGAGGTGTCATAGAGCAAAATTTGCCTCATTTGCCCACTACACCCAATTTCCTGGGCTGCCTGGAAAACGTCTTCATCAATGGCATTAACATCATCTACATGGCCAAGAGAGAAGAACCTGAAATCCGCATCCCTCGAAAGGTATACAAAACATGGAGATCACCATTAATTGTAGTGAAACAACATTACTTTGTCAGTGGAAATGTTTTAAATGTAACTGAGGTCAGATCTTTTTTTCTCCCCCTTAGAAAAAGATGCATTATGCCTGCAGGGACATTCTGCTCAAACCGATGACCTTTGCCGGGCCCAACAACTACCTGCAGGTGCCAGGCTACTTCAGAAGGCCTCGTTTGTTTGTAAAGTTTAAGTTCCGCTCATGGGACTACACTGGGCTGCTTATGTTCACACGATTTGCTGATGACCTGGGTGCCCTTGAGCTAGGCCTGAGCGAGGGACAGATCAACGTCACTATATTCCAACCGGGCAAAAAGAAACTCCAGTTTGCTGCGGGTGGGTTTTGAATGAGTATGCATGTGATCTCTGTACTGAATCTGATTGTAGAAACATAGCATGACAGGCAATCTCTAATTTCTAGGTTACAGGCTAAATGATGGTTACTGGCATACAGTGGATTTGGCAGCCAGAGACAACCTACTGACCTTGACAATTGATGAAGAGGAGGGCTCTCCACTAAAGATCACCAACCCTTTCACAATCCGAACAGGAGACCGCTATTTCTTTGGAGGTGAGTGGATCATGTTGGATCAAAATAAACGTACAAATCTTTACCATCCAATTCTTAAATGTGTTTTCCTGTGCTCAGGTTGTCCCAAAACGAATAACACAATAAGGAAGTGTGAGACCAAGCTGAACCGCTTCCATGGTTGCATGCAGCACATCTTTATAGACAATGAACAGCTTGATATCGACATTATTCTGCAACGGCAGTGGGGGCGCTATGCTGAGCTATTGTTGGGAACTTGTGGCATAGCTGACAGGTAAGAAATATTCTTTCATTTAAAATACCTAGTATACAAGAACGATATAGTTTTATTAATAGCAGGCCGGGATGCACAATATTAGATTTTTGCTCATTTCTGGTGTATGCCTTTATTTAATTTCAAAGTCATAAAGGCAGGTATGCTTAGGTCACCTAAAGTTTCATGTCATAAAACCTCACCCGAAGTCTCTTAAAATAGAAATAATCAACAGAGAAAATAGAGAATGTATGATGTAAGTGTGTTAGATTCACTTTTGTAACACCAAAATATAGAGTATAATCATATATTTGGTTTACAGATGTAATCCAAATCCATGCGAACATGAAGGCAGATGCATCCAGTCCTGGGATGACTTTATCTGTGTGTGTGAGAACACTGGCTACAAAGGAGAAGTGTGTCACATGTGTAAGTGCTGGCTGGCAATCTTTCCACTGTAATAAGTATTGCTTTACAGTTGATTACACTTGGCCCCTTCCATATTTCTTCCTAATAATAACAAATTGATCATCTCGCTTCTCAAACAACAGCTGTTTATAAAGAGTCATGCGAGGCCTACAGACTCAGTGGCAAGTATTGGTCTGGAAACTACACCATCGATCCTGATCTCAGTGGACCTCTGAAACCATTTGAAGTGTACTGCAAAATGAAGTGTAAGTTATTACTGTCACTTAAAAAAATACAGCTCCATCAGCCCTACTGTATGTCCAGTGCCGAATCCTCTGGTTGTTGTGAAAATGTCAGGTTATCATGTTCCTGTAATGAGAAATACGTAATGTTATATCATGGGATTTCTTTTAAATTTCTGTTCGGTGTTAAAAAGCATTGGGGGCAGTTAAGGACAATGTCACAGAAGACGTTACAACCATCCATTATGATGAATATAAGGAGATAAATATCATATTATAATAGCCTCAATAAATCAAAAATCACACTAAATTGGCTGGACATTAAACCACCATATATCAGCAACTGTAAACAGTCCAAAGACAGAGGGACCAAACACATGGAAAGAAAGCTAAATCTATAGGTTGAGAAAAAGAGAGAAGAGAAAAATAAAATGAAGTGAATTGTTTTATGGAAATAGATGTATGGAACAGCAAAACCAAGAACCTTCTTTCCTTTAAATGGTTTATTCTTATCAACTGTTATCACCGCTTTTTGTGGTTGTATTTCTATACTTTCTTTAATTAAACTAGGGCTGTCAGTCGATTAAAATATTTAATCGCGATTAATCGCATGATTGTCCATAGTTAATCGCGATTAATCGCACATTTTTTATCTGTTCTAAATGTACCTTAGAGGGAAGTTTTTTATACTCTTATCAACATATGAGTGGACAAATATGCTTTATATGTTTGTTTATTATCATTTGAACAATGACAAATATTCTCATGAATATTAAACACAACAACCTCTGAACATTACAAATATTCGCCTCAATTCAACCTGGAACCTCTCTCATACAATAATACTGTGTGTGTGTGTGTGTGTGTGTGTGTGTGTGTGTGTGTGTGTGTGTGTGTGTGTGTGTGTGTGTAGACACTGTGATGGATCGTTGAGCTATGTGCAGCTGCTCAAGGCATATATGCTCGAATGGGAGCTGCCTGGACGCTGCAATAATGTTGCGCGTACTATCCGTGCTGAGTGTGCTGACTTTTCGTACAATGTCACACTGTCTGGCTACCTGCATAAAGTCAAGTGCTCGGCGCAGTTGTCGGCGAAATGTCATTGAAACAGCTCCTTATATCCGTTAGCGCAGCTAGCTAGCACCAGATGCTAACAACAACAACACGTAAGGTGTGCCTCGCTCGCGCGAGTCGCGCCACACATACACACTCCCTCCCGGTCCTCCCGATGGCCAGTCCGGGCCTGCCAGTGAGCGTGGAAGTGTGGTCTGCCACAAGCGGGCGGCAGGAGCGGGGCTGTCAGCATCAGCTTGTCGATGGTATTTTACACTCGATGCGCTCTGAAACTACGGCGGCCGAGGACAAAAAATACACATGCGTTAATCGCGTTAAAATAATTAGTGGCGTTAATTTTTTTTTTGCGTTAACGCGTTATTAACGCGTTAACTTGACAGCCCTAAATTAAACACATTGTTAACATGTATTTCTATAGCAGAAGTGACAAAACTGAGTACTTGTAATGTAAATATGTGGACAAAAGTATTGCCATTTAATTGGAAATTAGACGTTTTTATGAAACAAGAGTAGCAGTTATCTCAGAATGTGTTGTAAAAGTATGCATTTTCTTTCCCCCACCTTTCTGTTCACATTCAATTGCTTTACATTCTTTTCATTTTTCTTACATTAATATTCCCTCCATCTTTCTCCTTTAAAATGTAATCACCACGACCTATATCTGTCATGCCTCCTTACAGCATATAAAGCTTGGACAGTGATTCTAAATGACCGTGTGGATGGTACCAAGGTGACTGGGAGTTCAATAGACCGGCCATATATCGGAAATGTCAACTACTGGAACGCCTCCTGGGATGAAGTATCTGCTCTAGCAAACACCTCCGTGTACTGCGAGCAGTGGATCGACTACTCCTGCTACAAGTCCCGTCTCCTCAACACCCCCAGCAAGTTGGATTAGTCCATTTATATATTTGGTAGTTTGCACATGAAGAACAAGGAAATAGTAAGCTAACACAACTTTTCTATTTCAAAATAGATGGAAGACCTTTTGGGTATTGGATTGGTCGTGACAATGTGAGTCACTATTACTGGGGTGGAACATTCAGAGAGGTCCAAAAGTGTGGCTGCGCTATCAACCAAACCTGCACCGATCCCAAGTTTCAATGCAACTGTGATGCTGACTATAGACAATGGTGAGAGAAGGACACATTGTGCAGGCTTAACTTGTATCTGCGACAGTGACAAGCTAGTCTTTACGTCCACACTATGTCTTTACAGGTACTCAGATAAGGGCTACTTGGACTGGAGAGACCATCTGCCCGTGAGGAAGGTGGTGGTCGGGGACACCAACAGGACCGGCTCAGAAGCACAATACACTGTTGGGCCTCTTCGCTGCCATGGCGACAGTGAGTTTGCATTTTATGGGGTTTGCTCAAACAGTGATGTTCAGTACTATGAAAGTGTTTAGAGTTGTTTATTTTAATACATATTTGAATGTTTTCCAAAGGAAACATCTGGAACACCATATCCTTCACCAAGCCCACATACATAACCTTCCCCACCTTCAGGCCGGGCTCCAGTTGTGACATCTCCTTCCATTTCAAAACTTATCGTGACCACGGCGTCTTCTTGGAGAATTCTGATGACCAACTTCGAAACTTTATACGACTAGAGCTGAATAGTGAGTTGAATAATCTGTTACTGGAGCTATAGAGGGTATGCAAATGAGGTCAACGTAGGCGAAAGTCACTGAGTTAAGTGTTGAGTTTCAGCAAATCCTAACAAAACACATCCTAAATAGACAAAAAATGGCCAGATGATTTTAGTTACTTCATTTCTCAACAGTAGAGCAATTTTGAAAATGGTTAAAACTGCTGTAGCAAGAGCAACAAGAAAGTTAGACATATCATTGCTGTAGAACCTGTGGGTTCATTGGTAAGTTGTAAAGATCATTGACATGTCCAACTACATTTAATTGAAGTAGATATGTGTTATTTTTACTATAATTCTCCCAGTTTACCCTACTACCATAAGCCAGGTTGCAATATGATGTTTTGATAATGCTTTTACTGCTCAGCCCGTCAGTGCATACCCTCTATTCTCCTCATCTTATTTATTGAGGAATCTCTATATTTTATTAAAACATTTTCTTTCTGTCTTTTTCTCTTCCAGCCACCCATAACCTTGCATTTATTTTTATGGTTGGCGATGGCATTGTAAATGTGACACTAAACTCCCCTGTTCCACTCAATGACAACGAGTGGCACTTTGTTCAGGCTGAGCTTAATGTGAAGCTGGCCCGAATCAAGGTTGATTATCAGCCCTGGGCTGTCAAGCGTTTTCCAGGTCAGACTTTCGTCACCATGAAGTTCACACATCCTGTTGTAGTAGGTAGGTTGCCTGAGGTGAACTTCAAAATGTGTCATGACATAAATTGAATATAATGTTCACTCTGAATTTGAGTAAATAAGAATAACTACTGATACAAGTTTTCTTTGTATTAGGTGCTGCTAACCGCACCCTGAGACCGTTCTTGGGGTGTCTTCGAGGGCTGCGAATGAACGGGGTTACTCTTGATCTAGAGGGGAAAGTAAATGAAGAACAGGGTATAAGGCGGAACTGTACTGGAGAGTGTCTCAATGCGACCATACCATGCAGAAACTGTGGCCAGTGTATAGAGGGCTATGCTTCCTACACCTGTGACTGTAACAACACAGCTTTTGATGGTTTCTACTGCCATAAAGGTGAGTTCATACATGTTTCTCCAGAGCCCTGACACATAACATAGTAACTGATATAATCTGCAGCAATATGATTCAACAGATATCTAATTTGGCAATGATCTTTTTTAAGACATTGGAGCCAGCTTTGAGCTTGGCTCGTGGCTGAAATACAACATACGAAAGAAGCCTATAACAGACGAAGCAGCGTGGGCCAACTGGATCGACCCGCACTACGACAACTTCAGCCTCGGCTACAATGACACAGCAGATGACATTGAGTTCAGTTTCAGCACCGTTTACAAGCCAGCTGTGTTGCTCTACATCAGCTCCTTTGTCCAAGACTACATTGCTATAATCCTCAAAAATGATGGTAGGAGCAACTCAAAAACTATTTGAAGTAATGTGCTAAGCTGGTAGAATTGCACATGTAAAAAATCAGATTTATAACATTGACTAGAAACTCTAATGCTCACAAAAGTTGCTGTAAAGTAGTTATTTAACAGGAAATTATATTCTTTTGATATCTTGTTTCCTTTCTCCCTTTAGGTAGTGTAGATCTGAGGTATAAGCTGGGGCTCATAACACACAAGTACCAGCTGACTCACCGTAACCTGGCAGATGGATACCCCCACTACGTCAACATAACCAGACACAACAGAACCATCAAAACACAGGTCAATACTGCCACTGCTCTAACTGTGTAAACCCTGGCCTGGGTTTATGTTATTTTTAATGAAATAAGGTGTCATGAGGAATCATAGACTGCTGTTCACCTTTAGCTTAGTTTAGCCTAAAGACTAGAAACGACTTAGCTGTCTCTAAAGGTCACAGAATCCTTTTGTTTTTTGATCTGTCCACAGGTGGATTACATGGAGCCCATAGTGGAAAAGATAACCTTAGTGGAGGATGCCAGGTTTGACTCTCCAAAGTCCATGTTCATGGGCAGAGTGATGGGTAAATGTCTAAAATATATGTTGATGAGAACAAGTAGCCATATGTTTATTGTTTTTGCAGAAATGTATTATCCCAGAAAGAAACGTTAAGATGTAGAATCTCGTACTTAAGGGGGTTCCTACACAACAAATCAGAGGTTCTAGGTCAATAAATAGACAAACATGTATAACGCACAAAACTAATTTGGTTTGCGCCTTTCAGAGGTTGGTGACATTGACTATGAGATCCAGAGGCATAATTCTCCAGGCTTCATAGGCTGCATATCTGGGGTGAGATACAACGTCTACGCGCCCTTAAAGGCCTTCTTCCGTCCTAATGAAACGGATCCTCCCGTAACGACGCAAGGCTACGTATCTGAGTCCAACTGTGGCGCCTTCCCTCCTATCCTGGGTTATGTACCATGGGAGGTTGACCCCTGGTTTACCACCATAGGTGAGTTTCTATGTCCCATAATACATCAGTACAAAACAAATATTATTTGATGTTCATCCACTTATGTGTATACCTCTTCCTTTCAGAATATATTTACATCCATGATGACCTGGGCCTGTTTTGGATAACAGGTAAGATTACATTTTTTCTCTCTGATGAGACGTTGCCCTATTTACATAAATACTGCATATCTGCTTGTTTCTGAATTACTGAATAAAAAAAAGGCCAGTAAATTAAAATGTTGCACTTCATTCAGTTAATTTGGAAGCAATGCATTTTGCCCTTATGCTGTTTGACAACGAGAGAGAGAGGCAGGTCCTACATCACACACACAATCTTCTTATCCTTAATTGAGCCCAGTTGTGAGGGTCCAATGTGGGCTTTTGGTTTTTAATCTGACTGCAGTCTCAAATGTATTGCAAGTGGGACAAAATCCAAAAATCATACTTGTTGAAAAATAAACAGCAAGACATTTCTAATACATTAATAGAGGAGATTATTTTGTAAATCGCTTTGGATAAAAGCATCTAACAAGTAACATGTAATGTAATGATTATATTTGACTCAGTCAAGGTCAGATTATGTTATTTAATCTTCTAGAGTATATTAATACATTTAATTCAAGTAGAATAGACCTATTTGTCTTTGCAAAAGATATGTGAACTAATATCCGTAAAGACAGGTTCCTTTAATGTCTATACATGCTTAGATTACATTTGCATATGCTACATAAAGTCAATAGACGATTTACAATGAGTACATAACATTACCAATACATAAAGCCTTAATTCCCTGATTACAATACAATCAATGGCCAAAATAGTATTGCAATAGTGTTAGATCAATTATGTAAAGGCAACAGGCCATCGAATAAAATAAAATATATTTCTGACACAATAAAAACATATTGGGATATAATTGAAGCTGTGCAGTACATGGTAGATTTTCTTAATGATATTATATGAATTGATTATGGTGTAATTCATCATTTTGATATGAAACGATATGTGATCATTTAAAAAAGAACATATGAAAGACATGAAACCGATGCTGGAATGACAAATGTGTTTTTCTCTGTAAACCTATGGATTTCTGGAAAACATCAATATTTAATAAACCTCTTCCACTATATAATCCCCATGATATCCCTGCACCTTATTACAAGAGGAGTGTTGAGAGCAGACGAGCATTTTGCAGTAAAGTATTAAAGATGACGGACAAAATTAGAGCCCTTCTCCCCGATGAGCAGGACAGGCTGGAGCCTCAGGATTAAACTGCAGCACAGAGAGTCCCTGCTCCATCCCTGTCTGAGACCTTTACCGGATCAGCTATATTTAGTCTGCATGGGCCCAGCTTACTGCTCATCATTGATAGAGGCTTCATTTTAATAGATCATTCACATTCAGATGTATTATGCTAATCAAGGGCATGAAATTGGTGTGCTTTTCAATCATCCAAACAATGGTCCCTGCTGGTTATCAGACAACTCTGTTTGATATAATGCTCAGGATAAAATGGTTATGAGTGAGAATTGTCACCCTTTTTTTAAAAGGAGTTGATAAAGCAATATTGCTCATGATCAAATGCTGTCACAACAATAGTTAAGAAATGTGTTTTTCCTTCACTTCAAATATATCCACCTCATTGTAGTGAAAACCTAGTTTAGAGTAAACACTGTTCTGTATCTGATTCTGATTTATTGGAGTTATGAACACCCAAGGGCCGGCATATCTGCTGGCCCGAGACCAACGGATATGGGCACAAAGGCTTCAAGACATCTCACCAGTCCATTACACAGTGGACACACTGACTGACAAAAAAGCACACACCTACAGGCAGTTTAATGTCCCCAGCTCAGCTGACCCACATGTCTTTGGAGTGTGACAGGAAACCAAAGCAAATGCAGGGGAACATAAAACTGCAAAAGGGCTGAAAACCTAGACTCACAGTCAACGATCATCTAGGATTCATTTTTTAATACTTCTGCTCTTGCTTTTGTTTTCATTCTGGATGTTAAGTGAAGGAAATAACTAAATACAGAGTGGCATCAAATATGTTGCAGAAAAATAATTTGCAAGATTAAGTCGCAGTAAATATTCCGTGTGTCCGTTTGGACTAAAAACCTGACGTTATAGATTACACGTTCAGTTTTCAGTCAAACAGTGCCTGTTCCTCATTAGTATTTCCAGAAGCACCTCTTTTCTCATTGAGTTGCAAATTAACTCTGACTGTGCTATTTTTATCCTTCAGTCATTGTCATCCTGGCGCTGCTGCTGCTCTTCGGAGGCCTGTACAGCATCTATGTATATGCCTATCAGCAGAAGGGCAGCTACAGCACCAATGAACCCAAGAACCTGGATTCCCCCAGCAGCTCCAGGCCGCTGACCGAGACCCTGAGGAGAGAAAAAAAGAACCTCCCGGAAATTGAAGAAGAGTTCAGGAGCGACTAAAAACACAGGACTTTTGGGATCATAGGGGTGGGGTTTGAATAGGGGTTGGGAGGAGGGAAATAGCACTTACAACAACCACAGTTACCTGTTTTCAGTTTTTTCTAATTCCTTTGTTCTGTTTTCTTATATTTTTGTTTTGAGTCCGTTGAGTTGGATCAGACAGCTGGTGCTCCATATAGTACGTATTTTGGTAAGGGTTAAAAGTTCACAACAAGCCCCATGTTGCGTGAGTAGTCAACAAGTCTCACACTGTATTGCAGGGCGAAATACTGAAGTGCCTCATCAAAGCAAGCTTAATCTGGATTAGCATAATAGTTTATTCAGATTGGGTTCAGATTAGACACTGTGGGATCAGGATTTTAGGGGATCTTTAGTTACAGTTGGGACATCAGTTAAATGTTTTCTAGCTCTTTTATTGATTTCCTGAGCCATTTAGACTAATTGAAGCTACCAATGTCTAACTGTATTGCCATCCAAGATAAACCTTTTGATAACAATCTTTAAAGGGAGCCATTTTTTTACCTTATTGTTTATAATCTGTTTTGGGTTTGAGCAGTGAACACATCTAATAACTAGTGAACTAACCCAGTGTGACAAAAATCCAGATCACTGTAACAAAACTGGTGTTCATAACAACAAACCGAAGAGACAAACACACTGGCATGGAGCTTTGAGATGATGCATATTAAGATTGTAAGAGGCATATACGCTTATACTTGTTGTATTGCAGCCTATAACAGTGCATTACCTATACAGAATGGCACATGTAAGTGGTTCAGATTTGCCATAGTGTCAGTAGATAGCAGCTTTGCCGATTACAGTATGCTAAAACACATTCTCAACTATGGGGCTACGGAAATGAGAACGTGATGATATGATACTCCTCTAGGTGTGAGAGCTAACAGGATGTTGGTCTGGTTCAGAAACAATTCAAAGGTTGAGGTGAGGCTCACCAGGGACAGGCTAAAAATAAATCAAGATATCATTCCTTCTGTCTTGCTTCTGGTTGCTTATATTATGTCCTAGCAACCAATAGCTCGGTGCTACAGAGAGTTTGACTCGGCAGAAATCTCTAACAACAGTCTAAAAAAAGAATCAAGTCTTTTTACAATCCTTTCATCCCCAATCAGAAGCATCTTTCAGGAAACAGCTGCTCGCTGTGCCCATATGGAGAAGCATACTGATAAGTACACATGCACACAGACAATAACATGTACAGAGGACCACAAAAGTGTAAATGCTAACTTCTCATACTGCTTTAAAGTCTTTGCACAATGCTGTAGAACAGTAGTCGAACACGCTGTTATTGCTGCTGCTGCTTGTTTAGCTGCTTTCAGTGGAAAGTTGATCTACTCTTATGAAATCTTTCTTCTCTAGCAAGATGACATTTCATTCGATACGTGGTGCAACCAAAGCTTCAGGCTATCATCACTCACCGCCGCTCTCCTTGACAGAAAAACACTATTGTGTAGGGAAAAAGCTAAACATTTGTAACATATCAGCTATGCATTTGTAGAGCATGCAGCACTTTGCAGTAACATGAAATAATACGAGCTTCTTTCAGCCACCAATGATGTTTAATTTGCATCAAGTAGGATTTAATGAGTGTATACGTGACTATATATGAACAACGTGTTTAGCGACTTTTATATTCCTATTGTTTATACAAAACAGTTAAAGGGAGTGCTTTGAATGTGAATCTTCTGACTCGCAATGTATGAGCGGACACTACAGTGATGACCTTCTTGGATGTTTTCATTGTAGGCTGCTTAGCACTGACAGTAAACTCACTCATGGTAGCTCTCTAGAATGCTCAGGAAAAAGAAAGTACAGTACTTGTTCTCTGTAGCACTTTTACACCTCCAAAGCTCAACACTTGGTTCTTCCGTTACAGATGGGCAGAACTGTGCGAAAACTGTACATTGAAAGGATGTAAAAACTGCGAATACTGTAAAGACAAGACTTGCTAATACTGTATGAAAATGTATAGATTTGGCCAAAACTGGCATGAACAGGCTATATTTTTAAGAATGCTGTAATGAAATGAATGATACTGAAAAGTGAGAAAACAGAGTGAAACTGCTGGTTTGTGATTGACAGAAGAATAGTTTGTATTTTTTTGTTAAATGGACAATCACCACTTGAAGTTCATATGCTTTGTTGCCTATTAGGAAGGAGTCGACTATTGTATTATATGAATGTATACACCTCACTGTATTCATTGGTAAATAGACTATAAGCATTCAGCATAGTCAGTGCATAGCTAGTTAATCCATGCGTGGTCCCTGGAGCGTGTGTATGTGAAACTGATGGGATGTTTAGATGTTCGTGCATTTGTAGGTTGCCCACCAAGATACAACATAAAACTGTTCAATAAGAACTCTGTTTAGAAAACGAATATGTGCACTGATGCCAACTATCAAACGTATTGTAGTGCAAGTAAAGTAAATGGAGACAAAAACCTGGATGTGGTTCAGAATGACCCCTCTTTTTCCAGATATCAGGTGTTTGTAAATTACAAGCACATTGAATCTGTGCTGAACTGAACCTGAAGCGTCCATACTGCATTCTTATAATGGAGGCAATGGCTTGAATAAAAGGGATAAAGATAATATGGCCAGTAGAGGGAGTGGGTCAGAAGGATATTGTTAGCTCGGACTTGGTATCTGCTGATTTCACTCCATGTGTTACGTTTTGAGTGCTGTTTAAGTTAAACTTATCAGTAACATCAGAATCTTTTTTTTTTTTAAAGGGACATAAAGTTAAACTGGGGTTCAAATTATTTGCATCTATTTCCATTCTGAGTTCAATTAACACTTTAATTCTCAAAAAGGCCTTAAGAATTGTTCATACTTTCTATGAATCTGCAGATACCCTGTCAACAACGATTTCATGTTTGAAAACAGACGATAAAAGCAACAGTGTGAGTAGTTCCACTTCTCTGCACCATCAACCGAATTCTTCTGCAACGAGTACAAGAACCGATCGTTACAGTTGTTTGTGATCACACTGAAATGTAGGATTTTTTCTTTTTGTCAGTCAGCTCGATTTTGTTTTGTAATACTTTCACTGTAAATGACCATTACTGTGTGAATCAAGGCAAAGCCAAGCCGTCACCTCAATAAAAGAAGCTTAAAATGAATTGTCAATGTTTTATTTTAGGTAAGATGTGTTTTGCACAGAGACATTAAACACACTCAAGGACCAGAGCAGCATGTTTTAATGTATAAAGTTAAACTTTTATTTTTATAGGCATACACTGTACATAGCAGTAAACTCCATTTTGTTCATCCCTATTGAGAAGGATCTCATTTTAAATTGGGACTGAATGTATTTTAAATGAAAAACAGGATGAATTACAAATCTGGACATATAGAACAAATGAGAGATGATGAAAGATGTTTTACATTCACATGTGGGGGACTTTAATATTTGGTCAAACACTGATCATTTTGCTTTTCCCATAGTTATAACCTTGAAATGGTTACCTTTAATTTTTACATCTTTTAATTATGCAATACGTTTTTCAGTCTTTTTTCTGTATGAAATCATTTGGCACTTATATGATTTATAAAAGGAAGACATTTACTGTGACTTGTTAATGTATTAGTTATATCCTTCACAAAGTGTAAAGGCCTCAAGATCATGAAAGTATGATAATAAATGTTTGATGTGCGTGTACGTTACTCAAAGTACCGACAGAATGGATTTATGTGTAAAAATGAAAAGAGGGATGAGATCTCTTCACCATCGTCTACTCTAGAGGTTACATTCAGTCAGTCGGTTCTTGTCTGGTTGCCTATTTTTGCAGAACAATTATATAAATGCACAATATCTTATTTCACCATAAAGATGTGGTGGTGATGCTAGCTGCTGAAAAAGATTCAAAGAGGAACACAAGCTGTCAAACCTGGTCAAGTTCTTCAGAAGAACTGCCAGTGGGTAACATAGCACAGACTGCAATACTGAGACCGCACAGATTCTGACTGAAGCTAATGCTAACATGTTTATTGGTTCGCTTATCCAAGAGACAGCACATGCATTTCACTGATTATTATCATATACTATGTAAAAGCTTGCTTTAATGTATTGAGAGGTCAAATAAAAGCCGGTCTATAAGTACAGTAACACAACTTCTTAGATGGTAACACACTTAAGGATGGGTAATCACGACCTCTTTGCTTTAACTTGATGAAACAAAAAAACAGAAAATGTTCGTGGTGTAGTAAGCAATACGGATTAATAGTATTTCCACTTGATATAGTCTAGTTTCATAAGCTTGGCGTATACACTGTTGCAGGTAGTGGGTGGGTTTGGGTAGAGGGAGACTGACTGCTGTCACTGGACGAGGGAATGATGTCTGCAGGGAGCAAACAATAGGGAGGGACTCTATTTTTAGAAGTGCAGCAGAGAGGGCAGAGACAGCGGCTGATCATAGAAACTCGTCTTCTAGATGTGACGCTACAAAGAGGGCCAGAAGCATTAGTGGGTGGCTGAGCTTTTATGGGCTGGTTATCGAGGTAGTCAGCTAAGCCGTGTCTGCCTCCCTCTCTATCCCCACATATTTGAGGGCATCCGCTTGGCTGTATCTGTGAAAAGAAGATGAAGTGTCTGAGTTAACATACAGGAACTGCGGGAAGTAGTAATTCAGGCTTAACGTACAGTGGCCTGTTTCTTTTTTGTTTTACTTTGAAGCTGCTGGAGTCACTAAAAGGCCTGTGACTCTACCTGTAGTCAAAGAAGAGCTCCTCTCCTTGCAGGATAGCTCGCTTGGCAAATATTCCAATGCGGTGGTCTCCATTCACCATTACCACTGCAATAGAAGCAAACAGCTTAGCCAAGAAACATCCTGTGAACTCACATCTGACAACATGGCAAAGATAAATATTACCTTTAGCGTAGCAGTTAGGATTAACTGAATGATTTGCAAAGCGGATTTTGTTCCCCTTTCGAGTGGCATCCACAACAAAGTCTACCCAGAAACATGGCGTGTATTAAGGATTATTTTTTTTAAAGACCATAACCGTGATATGGTTAGGATAAAAGGAGGAATTGGGAATACTAACCATTGTTCAAATTGAAAAGGAAGCTAGACATATATTTGTCATAGATCCTTCCGCGTCTGTCTGCCTCATCCTGCGAGATCAACTGCTCATGCACACACAAAGGAATAATAAACACTATAAAAATTAAATCCACTTGAGAGCTTATATATTATAAAATATGACTAAACCCCATGGTCTTACCTCTCCGCAGTATTCAGAGATGAACTCATTCTTCTGAACTGGTTCTTTGATGAAGGTGCCCCATCCGGCAACATCTGATGGAGCCAAAAGCAGGTGCTGAGAGAATCAAATGTAGGTTAGGACACCACGCACACATATGAGAGATCCCCAGAATAAAAGGCTTAAAATATGTAACCATTAAGACCTTCAAGTGACCTAGTGTACCTTTTTTAGGCTCCTCTGGATGCTGCAGTTTTTGCAGGAGATCATTTTGTTGTCCCAGTGCTCTGCAGTGCCGCAGGTCATGCACAGATCTGGGTCACATTCCCTCACCGCCAGGTAGCAGGGACACTGTTTAGTGTTGCACTGGGTCTTACACCTGCAGCCCGGGAAGCGGTTCTGGCCTAAAAAACATTGGACACACACAGCTGCTCTGAAAGGGGATGCGCTCAAAAGTTTGAATAGTAAAAAATAGAATAAAAGAAAGAATAGAAAGACAATGCAGACTATGCATTACATTAATGCACAAAATGTACAACAATATCTGTTTTCTTTTAATTACTGCCGATTTTTATTCCATATTTTATTCCATTCCATTGCAATGTAAATACTGTTATATTTTACTATATTTTGTATTATTCTTAATATTTTTCTTGTTCTCTACCTGTGTTTTTAATTCTTGTTTTACTTTTATATATGCACCAAATCAAATTCCTTGTACGTGTAAACCTAAAATCTGGTAATAAACCTGTTTCTGATTCTGACAATGCAGTTGAAAGCTGGCTCTGTCATCGGCATCAAGCTGGACCCTTTTGAAGCTGTGGTGGAGAGGAGGACACTGAACAAACTGTTATCCATCACAAGGACCGATACAGGAAAACATTCCTGCCGACTGCAATAACTCTGTAACAACAAATCACCTCTGGCCGGAAGAGAACTCTCTGCTCCATAGATTCTCTTGGACAACTGGACTTAAAGTCACACTGTACATTTTAAATGTATATTCAATTTAATATTCCATTCCTTACACACTTAATGTATATATAATATCCTGCTTTATATTTTGTTACTGTAAATTTGTATTTCAACATGTATATTTTCTACTATTTTAATGCTATTTTATTTCTATTTGAGATATTTACATTTTGGATTGTTTATTTCTAGTCTTTTAATTTCTTTAATGTACAATACCTTGTTTTTTTATGCTGCTGCAATGCAAACATTTCCCAAATTGGGATCAATAAAGTACTTCTTATCTTATCTTTATTATATGACTTAGCAGAAAACAGGTTGGCTATGGAAATTAATTCCATTTCCAAACGCAGTTGTGCAGCACAGAATCTAAATAGCTGAGTAATGCTGAGAAACCCATCACTCAGAGACCTCTGCTGGCAGATATGCTGAAATACAATTTTGCAGAGTGAAACATAACACCCTGCAGGCAGGCGAGCGGAAGGATCAGGCAAATATAACCCAAATGTCTTTCCAGAAGCCTCTGCCCGGGAAACACTGTGTACAACACAAAGCTGAAGGCAGCATTTGTCTTCTCTGTTTTAAAACCCTCCCATTCCCAGCCTGTGTGAGTTTTATGTGTCTGTATCATCAAGCTTTGTTTAGCTGGAGCGGTCTGACTCATACTGATGTTGGAGATGATGTTGTATATTAGGCACAGAGCCTGTCATATCCCTTTGATTTCTCTCCAAGTCTTCGGAGCACACACACATGTGCAACGGGGGGGCTGCTTCCTGTTTGGCCCGGGCTCTCTTCAGCTACGGGAAAAGGCGAGGTAACAGTCGGGTAAGGAGGAGGGCCGGGAGAAGATGACTGAACCACAACAGATGAACAAATGAGGGGAAACCATCTCTTCCAAACCATAGCAAAATATTGACTTCATCTTCTCCCCTTTCTCTGTTGTAAACTCTCCCGAGGGAAAAATACAGAATGCATTCCTCCACCATGTGGCCATTTTGGAAAACACAGTTCTGGGTCATTGCTGCTGCAGCGAATGCCTCATTTTGAACGCAGCTCTGTTTTAAACAGACACCCACCTACCATGGCCAGAGGACACTTTCTCCTCTGACTGCTGCCAGAATACTGCAGAACCGTTTTACATTCTGCTGCCATGCTCTACTGGAAAAAGGGCTTTAGGTGTTATGACAAACAATAAGCATTACAAGGCGGAGAGAGCTTTTATGTATTTTTGTGTGTGTAAGAAAGAAAGAAGCTTACAATACACTCTGGGGAAAGAGAAAGGTGACACTCACACTCCTGCTCACACTGGCAGAACTTCTCACAGAAATTCTGGGTCATCACACACGGGCAGGTGCTGTCGCATGGATGTTCGGGGTGATCACATGGCTGGTATTTGTACACCTGATTGGACGAGCTATCTGGAGCAACAGAGGACAAACCTTTCAGACTGGGACAGTAAACTGTGTTGTATTACAGATTTCTTTTTTTTCTGTGAACGTACCTTTCTTTAGCTGAATCTTTGCCCATAACCTGCCACATTAAACAAACACAAAAGGGTTAAAAACTCTTATACCTTGTTCCAGAGTGATGCTGTTAAGTACCTTTCATTGATTATTGAGTGACAAACCATTACATGTGTCAGGAAGAACAAATGCAACAGTGCAGTTTGGATTTAACTGTGTGAACTTAATCATGTATTTTAACCTTTAAAATTGAGGGAGATTTCACTGAAGGCCGAGCTTCTTTCTGCAATAAATTAGGTTATTATCCTATTGCCATCATTAAGAGAAGGTTGTGCATAAGTGGGAGAATAAGTGGCGATATCATGCCTGTGTTTCCGTTTCTTCTTCTGGGGTGGGATGCCTCCATCAACCAAAGGAACACGATGGGTCAGGGCCTCCTTCACCGCAAACTCGTACACCTGTGAGTAAAGTAAAATAAGATGCATAAGAATAAAAACACATTGTGCTTATAGTTAGATTTGTAACCCTAACCCATTGCAATTGTTACCACTGTAAGTAATTGTGTTTTCTTTATTGTAATTACATTGTGTTAAGCTGAAAAGCACATTGCCACCATTATAACACAGAAAATCCTTTCTCCTGCTTCCTCTGTTGTCAAAACTCTGCAGAGGCCACACACACACACACACACACACACACACACACACACACACACACACACACACACACACACACACACACACACACACACACACACACACACACACACACACACACACACACACACACACACACACACACACACACACACACACACACACACACACACACACACACACACACACACACACACACACACACACACACACACACACACACACACACACACACACACACACACACACACACACACACACACACACACACACACACACACACACACACACACACACACACACACACACACACACACACACACACACACACACCACACACACACACACACACACACACACACACACACACACACACACACACACACACACACACACACACACACACTTCTGGCTGCCAAAACCCAGATTTGGAAGACACAGACATTCATAATGATGCAGCTGGTTTCAGCATTTCCATGGGCGGGGCCCTTTGGATACAAAAAGTTCCATCCAATACATCTCTGGACTTAAGGTACTACAAGGTTGGATGTAAAGGGGCAAGGTTGCTTCAACATGTGCTAAATATGGTAAATCGTTATTTTCCGCATCTACTGAGCTCAAAAGTAATAGAATTAGAGGTTGTCAGGTTTCCCCCACAGCCCATACGATTTGAGTCATGTTGGACATAAGTCTGTATACGTCTGAAGCTGAAAAACACCATGAGAGAATATGAGCAATGTCACATCTGGTAAGCATACGTGTTTATGGTGCCACATGCCATTCTCTCTGTAGTCATTCCAATTATCCACACCATAAAACCACAGGATGCATGCATTCATACATTCATACTGACGCAAACGCGAAAGAAATCAGCAATGTTAGTATGGTGTCTCCATAACTATGCATCAGTTTCAGATTGATGCAGTTTTTTAATTTTTTTATTATAACATTAGAACTGCAGATGGCATAGCTAATGACTCACAATTGCTGTACTTAAGGGCTGTCTCTAAAATAAACCCTCATTTCACATGAATCCTTTTGCTTCTATTTCCTACTTGTCTGCATTCCCTTTTGTTGGTTTTGTTTTAAGTGTGTGTGTTTTCGGCTACACTGAAGTGTTTTGAAGTGTTACATCTATTTCCAGACTTTATCTCACTTTAGCATCTGGGATTTAAAGGGGAATTCAACTTTTTATTTTTAACATCAAAATCTGTTCACAGGTGTTCGGGAGTATTTCTGAGAGTAGTTTTATAAAGCCTTTTATAGCTCCAGAAGAAACATAGTTTTGATCCAATTAAAAAGTGGGCCAAGCTACATTAGCCACTACTAGCATAACACAGTCAGTGCGAAGTGTTGGGGGGTTTTGTTGCACTGTGGGTAAAGGAAGAAGAATCCATAGGACAAAAACTATGCTTTCACTGATTCTGCTGAAATATGTCCATCGTGATTCTGACAATGTTGGAGGATTCCAGCGCTTAATCGGTGTACTTCCTGTCCTACCATCTTCTGAGATAAGAATACTGTTGGGTCTTTAAACATTTTACCTCCTTGCAGCTCTTTGTACCGATGAGGCGAGCGATGGAGCAGAAGTTGTTGAAGTATGTGCCGTGCAGCACTCTGAACAGTGACTCCTCCGCCCCGCTCCACTGGACCGCACAGCTCGCCTGCTGCTCCCCGTTATCAACCGCTGGACGCAGCTTGGTGGGAGTCTGGCATCGCGAATTCTCTTCTGTTACAAAAACAGAAAAACAATTTGGTTTCACTGTCCAACTACTCTTGGCAAAGAGTCTGTTTGATATTTGTTTAATCTACACACACATGCAGCTGCACACACTTTTTACTTTGTTTTGGCATAAGGCTTTTAACAGTTATATATCTGCCCATGGACACACGAGCCATGATCATTTAACAACTACTGACACATATAGCTTTTACTACAGTAGGAAAACAATTGTTTGTGTATCTGAATGTGTGTGTGTGTGTGTGTGTGTGTGTGTGTGCTTTTTGAATATTCAATACTGATGCTCAAACACCCACAGCTCGAGGAAGAGAGCCGAATGTTGCTTGGCAACAGGCTGAATGCAGCATTGCTGTGGCCACATGCTGGAGCACCGAGTATCTTTATTAATCTGTTCGACAATCTGTTTTTTCCACATTATCTCAACATGTGCAAGAGAGTCTGCTGAGTCACTGGCTGAGCACGAGCGTTTTCCAAAACTAACAGAGACTTCCAGTGAGGCACTGATGGCGAAGAACAACAACAACCTGAGAGCTCCAGGGGAGAGGGGGACAATGAAGAGCAAGAGGAGATTGCTCTTATTTCCCTCCCGCTGCTCTCCACATGGACATTTCAACAGAAAAGCAAAATAAAAACAAAACAAAAACCTAGTAGGAGGAGGGGGAGAGGGAACAAAGTGTTTATATTAGGGCCGAAGCATGCAAAACTAATGGCTGGTTTATTTTGCCTGGCAAGAAAGAGCTGGAACAGGGGAGACACAGCAGGATATCACTTGCCGGCTATTCGGCCAAATTTCGTTTTTTAAAGGGCTGCAGTCAGTTGGGGCAGACAGCCTTCCAGAAAAGGAGGGATTTGGGGGAGGTTATGGTAAATGATGCATCCAATACGTCACACAGTGACTCAGAAATACATTTAAATAACTGTGTATATACTGTATGAGGCACAGAAATCTCAAATGAATACGCAATATATAGCAATAAGTAATTGTAAAAGCAAAACTAGAATGAAACATTTTACACTGAACCTTTTCCGATACTTCCTTTTGTCTTGTCAATTTTTGTGATCTGAAAAGCAGCTCCAAACCCAGTACCTGGAAGATCGGAGTCCTACCTGAGGAGGAGGTGGTGGTTTCATGGTCACTCTCTGGGACTTCCTCAGCAGACACAGAGGGTCCGGGACAGCTGGAGCTGGTGGGACGCTGCTGCCTTCGGCGCCCTCGAGACCTTTGTGACGGCAAAATATTCTGATCCACAAACTCTTTAGCCCCTTTCTTCAGAAAAGACACAGGGAATGGAAAGAACAACAAAGAGTGAAAACAACATATAGCATGAGCTACAGAAATGAAGGAAGATAACAATTGTAAGGTTGGCATACCTGTAACAGGAAGCAGTCTTCACCACATGGTTCAGTCTCTATGCGGATCTCTTTTATTTTCCTCTTGTAAACATTGGGTGTAGCATGGAAAGCTTTATGAAAAGAAACACAAATATAGTGATTCTCTTTTTTGGGTTGAGAATACGTTGAAATGTAACTACTTGCTTAATACAAATTACATGCACATTTTTGTACAACATCTGACCCAATCGGAATACTACCTCAGGTAATTAGTTCACAAATGTAATAAAACACCTAAGGCACAAAAGATAGTCGGGGAAGACATATATAACGATTTCAAGTTATTAATCACAATCTTAATGGAAATCAAAAAAGATCGTAATATGTAATATAAACTATTACGGTGGAGAAAACAGTCGTATTTGAAGCAACGTCTGCAGAAGAGTGTGTGGAAGGAGTGCAACGACTGCTCCCGCTGTACAGACTTAGCGAATGGACCGTCCAGGTTGGGGGTGCAGAGAGGGGGCAGCTTCACAGCGCGGGGGGGATCCAAGAGGTCCTTGTACCTGTGGAGGTGACAGGGAGAGTTTTACTGGCAATATATCACAAATGTACAGTTTTACCACAGTATAAGTATCAATTAAAGTTGTTCCTGGTTGAAGTTGTTTTTTCCCCCCAGTAAAGCTCTTTCAGATGCTGATGCGACTGCTCCTTTCAGTCAGAGAGCCTGAGAGGGAGCCACCATTATTACTTTCCCTCCTGACAGCTTGCGTCTCCATGGTGAACACTAAGCAACGGCCTGTTCAGCATTGTGGACATAGATTCTCAGTGTGCACTGCACTTTTCTTACTTTTCCTTCAGCTCCTCGGTGGTGCCCTTGTAAGGGAACATTGAGGCGATGGCTGTAAATATGTTATCGTTGGGGACCTTCTTGCTGCCGGACATGTCCCTCACTTTGGGAGACAGAAAGAAAGTTGGTTATGCAAACAACCTATTACACATCAGTTTTTCATACAGATTCACAAACAGAGCTTATTCAAAATCGTATAAATATATTGCAATGGTAGAGACGTTTTCCCATGATGTAATACAAACAGTGACGTTTTCTTTTCCCAGTATCTTTTATTCATGAAGCCCCTCATTCATGGATGCGTTTGTGTACCAGTTCCTGAATGACTGTGTAGCCAGGTGTGTAGGGATGGGTATCGAGCCCCGGTATTAAACGGGCCCCGGGGATGAATTATTAAAGACCGTGGTACCGTTAAGCTCCGACGTTATCGGGCTTTTTATCGGTACTGGAGACATCTAAAAAATATAGGTCATATGCATTATTGCTACACAAACATTATATTGCAGTTTTAGTGTCGCCAACTCCGTTTCTAATATGCAAAAAGACTGCAAAATGCGTCTATGATTATTTTTAGTATTTTCGATCTTTCCAATCCAGACGAGAGATCTCTCTCTCTCTCCCCCCCGTCTGTGTGCGAGGGGGCGGGGCGGTTTACACACACACACACACACACACACACACACACACACACACACACACACACACACACACACACACACACACACACACACACACACACACACACACACACACACACACACACACACACACACACACACACACACACACACACACACACACACACACACACACACACACACACACACACACACACACACACACACACACACACACACACACACACACACACACACACACACACACACACACACACACACACACACACACACACACACACACACACACACACACACACACACACACACACACACACACACACACACACAGCGGAGAGAAAGCGCTCCAAGGTGTGGTTAAACTTTACCTGTCTCGATGTGGACAATGCTCGTTGCCAAAAGTGCAATAAGAGTTTAGCATGTCAGGGCGGTAACACGAGCAATTTGTCGAAACATTTAGCAAAAGTGCACCACATCCAGACGGAGAAATGCACCGGGTTCGACTGTCTTTCTAGTAGCTCTGTAGCCCCATCCACGAGTAACTTTTCCACGTCAGGTATTATGTATGCTAGCAGCAACACACGGAGTTAACTCAATTATACAAACATGGGTTAATGATTAGAGGTAACTGAGTTATTTATTTTGTTAAAGTTTCAGCTATTCTGTTTACAATTCTGTCATCAGATTATTTAATACGATTTGTTAAAACATTGTTGTTTCTTTTGATGTGAAATATTATGCATTTAATTTAAATAAAAAGCAATGTTAATTTTGTTCACAATTTGTTCAGTTAGTTTACCTTTTTTCTTTCTCCAAAAGAACCGATAAAAGTACCGTTAAAAGAGCGGATTGATAAGCGGTATCGATAAAAGTAGTAGTACCGTTAAAACCTTAACGATACCCATCCCTACAGGTGTGCCTCCATTTAGTTAGTCCCATAACGCTTGGTACCAAAGGTTATTAGGTTCTGTAATTAGAGCCATATCTGTGTCGTAGACAAACAGGTTCCCTCACACACAGTACCCATGCTGGGACACAGGGGCAGCTTTGAAGTAAACAATGCCTTTGCAAGGGCTGCTGTGACAGGGTGACCTTGTGGCAGCTCTACAGTGTGATGAGAGGAACAGTAACAGCCTTGTTCATGCTGCAACCCTCAACAATTGACCATATATAAGATGTGGACATAGTCACTGTGATGTCACTGGTTTCAGGACTACAGTTTTGAAGCCCAGAATTCAAATTCTGAGACCAAAACACATAGAACACCCAGACTGGCTGTGGTAGCAACCTGTCAATCACAAGGTAGACCCACCCTAATGCCATGCCCATTCTACAAGCTGCAAAATGGCCAGATACATTATTTCAGAGACAACTTTGAAGTGTTGCTCAAACGCTCATTATCATACAGTACAGTAGGTATACCACATAAAAGCACAATGTACTGGCTAATGGTTAGCTAATTTCTTCAACTTTTTAAAGGAATGGAATAGTGGGGGAAAGGGGACCAGTTATAGTTTAAAGGTGGGGTAGGTAATTTTGGAGAAACCAGCTCGAGTGCCCTAGAATTTGAAAATACACAACCGGAAAAAATCTGCCACTTCCTTACAGAGCCCCTCCTCCAACACACACGAACGCGCACATGACCAATGAGGGCACGAGATAAGTTTGTGCACAGATGGAAGGCTGACAGGCAGGTAGGCCATCCAGTTATTTTAGCCGGGCCGGCTAAAATGATTGGTCGTGCTTTTTACAGTACTACGGCTTCCACAGATGACATTTTTTTATGGATTTTTTGTCATAGCAAGATTTTCATTGCTATCGGGATGTTAAGAGCATTCCATGGAATATAACAAAAAGTGTATCTCGAGCCGGTTTCTCAAACTTACCTACCCCACCTTTAACAAAACCTGTGTTGCTTTACCATGTCATTGGAGTGCTGAAAAAGTGATCTGATTGGACTTTGTAACTACATGTCAACTACTTTAATGAAAATAACATGTATCCTGTTCCTTGTTGCTCTCAGTATCAACATAGCATAAAGCAAGAACTGCTTAATTGTATACTTTACTACTTGACCCTAAATGGGACTATATTTTACTTTTTTTAAAAGCATCATACTTTATTGAAGAAGATTTGAAACTAGCAATTGAGACCATCATCTCATTGGAACAATGTTTACAGAGAATGTTGCCGCCTGGTCTAAAGACACAAACTCACATCAACATAAATGCTCACCCTCGGTAGTGCTCTTCCTCTTCCTCCTGGTAAATGCCCCAGTACCAGGTTTAGTCTCCTCTGAGCCCTCCACTGAGCTCCTCATCACTCTCTCGTCCTCCTTCTTCCCTGTCACCTCCACCGTCACCATCGCCCCTGCTGCTTCCTCCTCTTCCTCCTCCTCGTGGTCAGAGTACTGGCACAAGGCCTCCACCAGCTCTTTAAAAACCTCATCGCTGATAAACCCCCCCTCTGGAATACATATGAAAAAGCCAATTCCTTAAATATTTATCTTTTCAACACACTTTGAGAAAATCAGCTGCATCATCAGCATATACTAAACCAAAGTCCCTGAATATTGCAGTGATATACAGAATTAAAAGGTGTTATATTATGGGTTGTGTGCAGAAACTGTAATGTGATAGAGAATTCAACACATACCTCTGTCACCATGGACACCATCGTAGTTGTCGATGAGTTCTTCCAGGAAGGCCTCATCCTGTTCCAGCACCTCGTCACCCATGTATGGGATGTTGTGAAGAAATGTCTCATCCTCCACCTAAGAAACAAAACCTCACGTCAAGACACCAATGAGACTATCAGATGATGGAATACGTCACACCACCAACTGTGATCTACAGCTAACATGTAGTTCCTAAAATGTGCATGTGGTCCTGATCTGGAAATATAAGAAAGAAACCAAATTGTGTTGCAAGAGCATTTAGCCAGTGAAACTATATGTTTTAAAAATAAAATAATTTTTGGAGCATTTAGATTCATGACGTGTGTTTTTGACTTACTCTGGTTTAGATGTTCCATCCATTTCATCTCACAGAGGATCATGTTGAATAATATGTGAGATGCTGCACCTGTAACAGCACTGTAAATGCATCACCTACAACCCAGTATGGTTCATGTCATACCATGAAGTTATGCTGCAGAGACGACCAGGAGTACATGAAGGGGATCCCTGCCACTGTTGACAGAGGTCTCATGACAATGGCTTGAGCTTTGAATTCTGGGTGGCCAAACTCCACTGTACACATCTGCAAGAGCACCAGAGGTGAGTTTGAGTCAGCATTATTGGACAATTATATAACTGTATAATCGATGACATGCCGCCCCACCCCTGATAAGATTAACCCCGACAGCGTGAGAGAGGAGAGAATGCTGTCTGGACCACAGGCTGTGTGTAATATTAACTTTTACAGCATTACTCCTTGGCTGCCATATGATCCTGTTCTGGCACACAGCTTTGTCCTGAGATATTTCAGTAACACCTGACAGCCAGGTGAGAATCAGAGCAGAACACTGATGCGGGTGAAGAGGATACATAATGATGGAATAACGTTCACACACACACACCTTCTTGTTGGCCCCAAATCCGGCAGACGTTGACAGAGGTATGGACTGGATCCTGAGCCGGGACCACTCTTCATTCAGGACATTTGTCTTTTGCTCAATCTTTTGCCTGTTGGAATTGAACAGGGCCTGGAATCATCAGAACAAAGAGCATGTCACAAATACTGTTAAAAGCATAAACAGGTAGTGAGTGCAGCATATGAAACCCACAACAGCATAAAATCCCATACAGTAAAAAGATTTGTGTTGACCCACCTTGACCTCTTCTACTTTTTTAAGGCGTTTTAATTGGCGAAGGCGCATGTACTCAGACTTGACCCTCCGTCTCCACTCTAGCAGGCTGCGGGAGGGTACAAAGGAGGAAGGCTCAGGTTTTGGGGTTGGGGGGGCAGCCCCGGTACCAGGGGATGGAGCTGCAGTAGCTGTTTCCTCCATGACTCTTTAAAAAGACAGAGATACTTTGTGGCAAACAAGTCCAACATCACTGCGGTACACAATGCATCAAGATAATTAAACAGGCTGAATTATGTTGTTAAATTAGGCTTTCAGATGCCTAAAATGTGTTTAATAGGAGCAAGTGACGCTGTTAGAAGAAAGTTTGAGTTTGGACCATTCCTTAAGGAATTTCTAATAATATACAAGGCTTTAAAACAAGTCCATGGTGCTCAATTGTAAGTGTATAACGAATCCATCCGTTTCCAAATGTTATCTGTGACTTTCTGTAATTTATTTTAAATTAGTACTACACACAGTAAGTGCGACATACTCTCACACTACGTTACAGGCATAACACTTCCCCATTCCCCCCTCACTGGAAGTACATTTTAAAAGAGTGCCCCCCTCAGTAGGCAAAATAAAACTGACATAAAGGCAACAAATATACTTCCACACTGGTGCTTTAAACTGCTCATATACGATTGCCGTTTCTCCTTCGATCCAATCATGAATCGCAATGGATCAAATAATGAACAAATTGACTCATCGCGTGCACACACAAACAAGCAACTAATCCACATTGCCTATCAGTGGGCGTGCCTCTTCAAAAAAACAACATGAAGCGAAGCGGAGCAGAAAGTGCGTAGTACAGTTTTCCTGTGTTCCAAAAACACCTTAGTGAACATCAAGTTTCAAATCCGGCCCTAAAAGACCATCGAAAATAACTACAAAGACGAAACTGAGCTCGGGAAACTGCTATAGTACATTTCGTTCCTGGATACGAGTCGTGCACACGTTTCAGCCACAGCTATGAAGCGCGCTGCGTCCTGTAGCCGCAGCCCCGTTGAGACAACACAGTTACCATTTAAATGTGCGAAGACGTGCGCACCGAGCTCCACAATGACAGCACGTTATTCCAGCGGACGCGTGTGCACGTCTACCTCCAGCCTTCACCCAGTGTCGCAGTTATTAAATACCTTCAAATCAACGGCTTGCTTCCTATTCGTGCGAAGACACTGCAACGCGATCAAGTCACTGTCAGATTTTTTAACACAGTCGAAAGATCTGGAGCAATTACAGGCTGTGTGTTTGCTATTGATCTGACGCAGATACAGTCTCCGCGCGGCGAGGGGATCTCAGAGAAATCCCTACGTTATCCATGGGCATGGTGCTGCTGGAGGTTGTTGTTGTTGTAGCTTACAAATATCTGCGCACTTGGCTCTGTCCAGCCAACCCGTGCAGGAGGGTGACGTCTTTTTTAATGACCACAGCCTTTTCCTAGCCGAGGAGGATTCATTACTATTATGCGTCCTGGTCCTGGGAATAAAAAGCAGCGTGGAGCAGCAGCCACAGCACAGCCATTCACACGCATGCACAGGAACTGATGCAACTGTCCAGAGTGATATATCGCCATCTAAATGCGTGAGGGCATGACGCTCGGTTTGATCGGAGAATAAATGCCATATTATTAAAATATTTAAAAAGAATATCACAGGAATATTTTTGAATTTGATCAAATAGCAAAACAAATTAACTGCTCCACAACTGGAAAATACTATAGGACTAATTACCCCAGCTGTGCACATTGTGTACAAATAACAAACTATACATTAAGAATAAAAAATGATCAATACCTAGTTGAAAACTCCTACAGTGGAGTGGAGTTGAGTTGTATGGGTTAGAAAACAGTGCCGCTGTTGTTCTGCATTCCTCCTCCAGGGAGAGCCCGACGCATGTCGTTCTCTTTTTAGAGAGAGGGCTGGTCATCGGGCCACTGATGCCATCACGTACACTACGTAACATCCTAATTTACACTAGTTGAGCTGCAAACATGAGAAAGCACATTGTAAGTTTATGTTAATTAAAATAAAAAATCAGTACAATGAGCAGCATCATTTAGAGACAGAATTAACATCTTAAACAATATCTGGCCTACATCTTAAAGTGGCAGTGTAAAATAGGAAATATTTTTTTTTCATAAAGCAATATTTAACAAAAGTATTTTCCATACAACTAAAATGTTGCATTTTTTAAATAGATCAGTAATATTTCAAATAGGTATTTCTGTCTTTTATAATTCTTCAAACATTAAAAAAAAAAAAAATCCATATTTTAAAATTGGTATTGTAACGTATAGAGCCTGTTCTGGTACATAATATAAATCATGGAACTTACAATCAAAATGGCATATAACATAATACTATACTATCACAAGACCATGTTTACTTTTACAGCACAAAGTGACTAGGCTATATTTAGTTTTAAACCTCAAAGAGAATAGCAACATATGCAATATGCAAAGTGTTTGAGAAATTACCTGACTTTTTAAAATAATTTTTAGGTAAATCAAGATATTTCTCATGTTGAATTGGTGAGGAAGATAGACCTAGAAACAGGGAACTTCACAAAAACTTGAGTTTAATTTATTGTTAATATAAGATATTCACTTTTTCTTTAACCTTAGCCTTTGTGGCTTTTGAAGACAAGTCAACTCCTTTTAAGTGTTCTGCAAATAACCGTTACTCTCTTTTTTTAATTCAACTTATTTTTTTATTTGGGTGTTGATATACAAGTGCAAAAAGTCAAACATCAATGTAGGGTATTGGCTTTACTTTTAAATGTAACCCTGAATCATATTATAAAGACTGTGAAAATATGGATGGTAATTGATGAATATTCACAACAGTTCTAAATGTCCTTTTTGCAAAATAAACCCTTAGCCTGATGGATCAAAGGAAACCACAGAGATGCTACTCGTCTGGCACACAAGATGGCGCTATCCAGCTTTTTTCATCCCATGACACAACATGTCATACACATGTTCTTATTTGGATACAAAAACTTGACATGGTTAAGTCTTATGTTATGCTTAACCATGACTGCCTCTGTGTTTTTCGCTCTGACTACCATGCTTCTGTTGATAATTTCTCCTCTCGGTTTCTGCTTTATGCGTGCATTATTGGTTAGTAATTATGCATGCAGTGAGCAAAAGTATCTCAGATGATACAGCATGTTTGGCCTGTCCACAGTAGCTCGTGCCATGTTGATACCGACCCGTCAAACAAAAGCAAACACACACAGGAAGATATGTTTGGAGAGCATGGCTGTTGATCATGATCAGTGGGAAGTGTTTAATTGTGGTTAATGTAAACATTGTCTGTTGGTCTTGGCACTTGTCTATTGTGGAACTCAGATCAAATGTAATGCAGCTTTTATGATCTGTGAGAAAGGCTTGCAGATAAAAGGTTCGCAAAGTAGCTGATGACATACTTACCTCAAGTCATTTAAACTATTGTATTCAATGTAGGAAGTATTTCTTCATAGAGAGGCATGTGCCAAGTAAACATTCACTTATTTTATTTCTCAATAGTAGTCCCCTTCTTGCAGGCAATCCATTCTATTATTTTACGCACTAATACTGAAGAGTAATGCAAATGTATTAACTGTCTGTTTGTTGGCTTTTAAAAATTCAACCAGTTGCATAGAAAAGTGGCCTCCTTTTTCTAAAATGAAATGTGGAAGCAATTTTGTTCTAGAGCTAGCTGGCTCAGTCCCAGGTCCAGCAGCTGAGAAAGAGCACTCATCCTTCAGTGACGTGAGTGAATGCAACACTTTCATAATGGAGATCCCTGACGCCTCTTTTTACCAGACCGACTGACGTCAGATACAGCGGTGGGGGGGACTGGTTGCTTGTCATCAGATGGTGCAACACAACACAGATATGAAAGACATATTCCTCACTCACTAGCACTACACTGTAGAGTAAATCATGCTCTACAACAAATAACGATAGAAGCCTCCCTAAAGATCTTGCTCTACAACAAAACCAATAAGCAGCCAAACCAAATCTGATTTATCGCCTCAAGTTATGTCACTTGAGTCAGTGACTGTTGAGGCTGGAAGTTTAAAAATGTTACTCCTCATTTCCGCTTTAGGGTTTGTGCTACATTTAGGCTACATTTGTTTAAATGTATATTCTGTAACAAACCAAACATCCAACCAAAATGTCTGCGATTGAGTTGCATTGTACGTAGTGTAGGAGCAAAGTTTTGACATGGAAAGAAAATGGATAAACGAGACAATATATCTTATGAGCCCTCATTTAAAATGTCTTACAAAGTCGTACACTATACTGTTTATACCTTTTGTCATTAACTTGTAATTGTAGCCTTTAATGCATAGATTTATACATTTTTCTAAGTACTTAATGTATTTTCTAACTAGGTTTTGACTAATGAGCACAGGGGTGGTATATTAGTCTGCTTATGATATATATTTATGGCAATTTAGCCAGACCATTTCTATTTTACTTTTTATCTCAAAATGTTCTTTCGTTCCTTTTTTCATTTTTGTAAAGCACTTTGAATTGTGAATTTGTGTTGAAAGGTGCAATGTAAATAAACTTGCCTTGTCTTTATAGATATGTATAAATGTGACTTGTTAGCTTTTGTATATGCTTGATATTTAACTTATTTACTGTACGTGTACTATTAATTGGCTATGCATCATGGGTTTTTAAGATGTCAAATCTCTATGATCAGTTGTGAAAGTAAGAGCCTGCTACTCAAGACGTTACACAGCATTAAAGGTCCCATGTCATGGCCATTTCTACTGATCATAATTCCATTGTTGAGGTCTACTAAAATAGATTTACATTGTGCAATTTTCCAAACTCACATTGGTTTCTCATACAGCATCTCTGTATAGTAATGTGTATTCACTCTCTGTCTTAAACGGCTTGTTGGAGCTCCTGCCCCCCCCCCCCCCCTCCCTGTGAGCCCAGTGGCCGTCTGCGAGACAGCGAGACACAGCGAAACCCAGCCCGAAACACACACACACCCGCAGCCTGGCTGGGAGTTTGTGTGTGTGCTCAGGCTGAGTTTCGCGGTGTCTCGCTGTCTCGCCGTCCCCACACCAGTGAGCCAGCTCACACTGTCCGCTCCTCGCAGCAGCGAGCCTCGCAACGTCCCGCCGAGTGTATGTGTGTGAGGAAGTCCGCGGATTGGTCCAAACGTAACGGCTCTGCGGACGTAACGTCACTATACCCAAATACGTCACTATCCCCAAGAAGAAAACAATGGAAAAAGAGAAATCTCCAACGAGGCGTTCTGGGGCAGCATAGATAGGTATTTTCTGTGTTAGAGTTTTACTCTCTACAGGGTGTACTTTGAGGTTTTGTGACTCTGCAGACCGTTTACATGCAGAAAAAGCTACATAACACACAAGGGGACGGGTAATAACCAGAAAAGCATGACATGGGACCTTTAACATCTTTCCAACAGGAGCTCTTTGGATAAAAAAACCAAATATCTCATAATAGTTGAGAATCATGCATGACTTTTATGTTGTTAGCTGGCTCTAAAGCTGCCGGTGATAGAATTACTCAGCACACAATTATTGGTCCAGGGAACACTTGAAGCAAAACATTCACAACATAAACAAGTTGTCAGATATTCCAATTGCGGCATAAATCATTTTTTTGTCCAGCGCCTCACATGTTTTTAGTCCCATTCGGTGTGAGAACACATTAATGACATCTAAGTATTGCACATATTTATAAAAGTATGTATCCAAAGCTAAATACATAAAGGGGGAGAGAGCTAAATGAGAGGGTGGGGCTCTCTTTTTGAAAGCACAGGGTTGGATGAGAGAAATAAATAGATAAAAAGGGGGAGAGGGTGATGGTGGACCACAGTAGTTCCAACCTTATCACAGGCTTTCTGTCCCATTGTGTGAATCCGCCCATCCTAGGAAATGAGGGCTTCCTGTTGTTTTATAGAGCCTTCCTGCAGAAAGGTTGAGATATGTAATCCCTACCCACCAGGGAAGACGGACAGAGCATTGTCAGGCAAAATGACAGCCACTAGTTCCTCACTTAGGTTTTCTGGCTGTTTTGTGACTCTTCTCATCTGGGGTAAGTAGAGGATTTATCCTGTCCATTTCTTCACACTTATGATTACAATTCTTTACTTGCCCTCTCTCTCACCTCTCAAGAGGAATGCTGGGGGGCTTTCAGTGATTGAGTGGCTCTAAGAAAGGAGCTTAGCAAGCCTCATGATTGAGTTTGAACGTTAAACAGTTTGGTTTCAGGGTCATAGAATAGTTTTGAGCCAGCTGATGAACAAATGTGTGTTTTACTAATAATGATAGTTGTTGTTATTTAGAATTACCATTATAATATTACATTTTGTTTAATGATCAAGGCATCATTTGGTGCTCCCATTTATTAACTAAGATATTTATTTCTTGTTTGAGGGTACCGTGTTTTTGTGTCCCAGAGTAATATATGTCAAGATTTCCCTGAAAGTAGTGGCAGACAAAGGGAGGATGCCTTGACCTGTTAACTTCCTACTGTTTATTTTTTTGTTATTTCCTTTTCCCACTCTTCTTGGGTGCTGCAGTTTTAGTATACACAATTGTCTAAATACATTTCATGATTGCTGTTGGACCGTTTTTTTTTTTTTTACTTTTACACATTTATTCCTATATTCAGTTCTAACTTTATTGTATTTCTGTCACAGCAGGGTGCACATCAGTGGTTTGTCTGGTGGATGAGAAGTTAACGGCACAACCAGCCACAACAATAGGTACGTGTACTGTAAGAAAGAAAAAAAAATCATACATAACCACAACTACTTGGACTAACATGACCCCCTTTCTCTACAGGCTATTGTCAACAGATGAGACTGTTGCCAGTAAGTTTCAACTTTGTTTTTGTATTTGACCTTACTATAGACTAAACTACATGTCTGAGTCTCCGAAGGGGATTCTGTCAATGGTCTGCTTTTGATTTAACCTTAGCTAAATAACTAAACAGAAATACATGAATACAATTTAGGCTACTTTATTTTACTCTTTAAACAGTGATTATATACTTGTGTCGACTGGGGGATTCTTTTGGCTCATTTCTTGAAATGAATTAGCTTGGCCTGAAATTGACAAACACAGAAAGCAGAGCACAGTGATCCTGGTTTCTGCCAAGATCTCCTCGTGTGTCCTATCATGAGAATCCAAAAACAACTCTTGGGGAGGTCTCCACCAGTGAGGGTCAACAGCAGTAGACACGAGGCCCACAGTGGTTTGGGGCCAGAGGTTAACTCAAACCTCATTATGAACAGACCCCACCTGGCTGAATTTCCTGAATTTGTTCGTCATTCACCCCATGCAACGGGTCTTATCAACGCATGAACTCTAGGTTGTGAAACAACTGGAACTTTGGAGCAGCGCCCCTTTCACTGTTCCTCTTCCAGTGCCTTCCCTTTTTTTTCTTTCCCCTGATTGTCCCCCTCCCTCCCCCTGCCAACTCCCCCCAACTCTGAGCTCCTCCCCTGCTGAAAAGACACATTTCCTGATGTCATTACTAAATCAAAATGCTGCTCGGCAAACAGATGTTGTGAGAGGCCCAACATGTGGATTTAGTGACATAAATGGACAAGTTTGTCGTGAGAAAACATAAACCATGGATTCCATTTTTCATTCAATCAATAAAACTCTCTTACACTGCTCTTTAAAGCGTTGACAGTGAGAAACTACCTTACAGATGTAGCACAATCAAGTTTTCCCACACTTGTGGAGAAATATATCCGTTAGTTGGCCCTTCAAACACTTCATTAGCTATGACTAATAACTTCTTCCAGGTTGAGAGAAATTAACCTAAAAACGAAATCATGGCTGTCTGCACAGAACACCCTGCAGAGTCATGATTACATCCACCCCAAAACGCTAAGCCCTAAATGTTTACTTATGTTTCCTATTTGGCAGAGGCAGCCCAAAAGGCAAATAAATCACATGCTGTGAGCTGGCCAGGCCCTCGACTGTGAGAAACTGAGAATAAAAAGCAGAACAAGAGTTAAAGAGTAAAGGGTTTTCAGATGTGAGTCCAGCCCAGCTTGGGTGTGCTCCTTTTTATTTGGGAGAATGGAGAGGACAATCTTTGTTGCCTCCACCCCTTTAAAAAGAAAGAAAATCCTAAAGAAACGTGTGTTGGAGAGGGGAAGAGCTGCTGCCAAGGCGCAGGGCCGTCAGACAGATCTTCGCAGAACATCTGGTAACCGCGGGTAACACTGTTTGGACATCTGGTAACCGAAGGTTACACTGCGACTCTTCCATCCTGTCGGGTTTCCTGTTATGCCTCGCTGTATACAGTCTAACAAGTTTAGGTTTATTATACATGGTTGCCGGTTGGGGAAAACGCACCTTTATTCATTTTTTCTGACATGAAGGGAGCACTTGGTTTCATTGGGGTATTCCTCTCCTTTCTCTGCGGTAAGTGTGTGGTCTCTCTTCCACAGCTGCAAATGCCTGCTTTAGTACAAGACATGCAAAGTAACTCATGAGCTAAAACAGACATGAGTCTTTGCATTGAAGACTGCTATTATGTACTGTATGTCTTATTGTATAACTTATTGAATGAACTGAACTATGAATGGCAGAGGGTTTTGCCTGAACTGCCAAAAGTCAACAATAATGTCTGATTTAAAGTTTTTTAAATCTAACTTTTCTGTGTTTTAGATACCACTCATGGAGACTCTACATTGTCATTTGGTAGGTGAACTAACTCTGTAGCCCTATACATACTCACACAAAATTGTATCATCAACATATAAGTTTTTCTGAAAATGTTCCCACAACTTCACTGTCATTTTTCTCTCTGACGTCTCTTTAACTCGCTCTCATTCTATTCTTTTTCACTCATGCAGTTTGTGGGACTACTTCTCACAGTTGTGTGGGGTATTGCAGCTTCTGTCATGAGGAGTTCAGTGCACCAACAATGGAGTGCCTTCACTATCTGCTTGTCCATTTGTGTATCCCCAAATTCAATCACGCAATGACATCAATGAACAGCACTAACTGGTGCACTTGGGGCAATGTGAGCAAGTGAGTATTATGTGTTTATCTGAGGAGTATTTTCTTTTTTTATATATATATATGTTTAAATATGTGCTGATGTCTGAATCATGTTTTCTGTCTGCAGCTATTATAGTAACCTAAGCCTTTGCACGGAGGAGATATCTGACTGTCTCAAGATCCCATGGCCAAACCCACTGGTGGAACAGACGTTTGTGGACATCCACTCCAAGTTTTTCAAGGAATGTCCCTCGGAGGAGCTCAGTGACCCCCCCCCAGTCATTGTCATGGCCCTGGTGATAACTCCCATCTGCCTGATCCCTCTCATGGTTAGCCTAGTAGTGCTCAAGACCAAGAATGGGGATGGCAGCTCCTAAAGGTCAGCTCTGCTCGAAGGATATCATATTTTTGACCTACACTCACCCTCCTATCCCAACCTGAAGACTAAAGCAATCTTTCAGAAAAGCTTCAGATGCACTTTCATCTCACCAGTGACCTTGCAGAGGACTGAACCTTTCTGCACTCCTAAATTCAAAGGAAATCTAAGATATACGCCGCAGAGGAAACCGAGAAGGTGACACTGATGTAGATTGAATATCATCAAAATAATTGATTCTGTTCAACAACAACCTCCCTGATGCTGACAGGAACACTGTGATAAAATCTATGTTATAAAAAATTCTGTACCATTCTGTGACAAAAATGTTGTTTTCAACCTACCAACTCGATATCTGAATATGTATCTTTTGCTCTAAATTTGCTGTTCTGAAAACAGAGCTAGATCTTTTTTACTGGAAACCCAGAATTCAGGGTTATGATGACAAAAGCTTCGGAGCTTGCAAAAGTCCAAATGTATTTACATTGACACTCCGCATTATGTTGGATAGCAGTTGTGTTGATAAAAGACAAGGTCATTTTTAGTACTGAACTCTGGAACTCTTCTTATGCAGTTTTTCTACCCTGCTTTGAGCCACTAATTCAAACGTGTTTATGCAGAGGAAAAGGGTAATCTATATGTGTAAAAAAAAGGACAGGTAAATACGTATAGTGTGATGTATGGACCTGGTGATGTGAGTCATAATATAGGCATGGTTTTAGGTTAAAGGTTACTGATGGGACTCCATGAGAAAGGGGGATTTATTTCCGGGTATATCTTTGAGCAGCTGAAAACCCTTCAGCACTTTCCCCAGTCCAACAACGATAATCTTCATGACCATGTGATGAGCTAATTGAAGCGTAATCATTATTAACATAACTGACTGACTGACTGACTGACAGACAGACAGACAGACAGACAGACAGACAGACAGACAGACAGAGAGACAGACAGACAGACAGACAGACAGACAGACAGACAGACAGACAGACAGACAGACAGACAGACAGACAGACAGACAGACAGACAGACAGACAGACAGACAGACAGACAGACAGACAGACAGACAGACAGACTAATATTCTGTGCAGCATGGCGATAAACACTGAGAGAAGACACAAAGATAAAATACTTATCTTTCACCTGAATCATGATTTGTGTGTAATGTTCAATCTTGAATGACGATAAAGTCAATGTAATGGCTTTCAGATTTGTAACAAAATGTGTATTTATATACTGTTTTATATTGTCCTTACTTTACCCTCTGAAAAAAACACATTCAGACTGCTCTCAAACCATTTACTGTATGTATTTTGATATACTTTTTTTTATATTTAAAGCAATTAAATATACTGTTGGATTGTGGCTGTTGCTTATTCTTACTTATCTAGAGTGTCAGAGAATGGAAAACTAACCAAACTAGCCGTCATAACATAAAAGAAGGCTGATTAATTCCAGCTCGTGTTCATTAAGATACAACAGAGTTGCCACATCATTCTGGCAAAAACACCCTTTAACCTTTGTCAGTATTTGATTAAACACCCGTTTCCCTTGAGTGCGGTGCAGATGGCATTGTTTTGTGCTTCAGGTAGTGTTTCACTGTATCTTCAGTGAGCAGTATTTTGGGGTGCAGTTGCTAGGCTGAGCAAGTGCTGATGTAGTGAAGGAAGCAGTGACAGCAGTCATGTATCACACCCTCATCTGGCAAACACAACACTGCAGGGTGGGCCTGTGTTAGTGTACCATAGACTGTATAAAGGTGTGTACGTGTGAGTGTGCGTCTGACAGGGCTGGGTGGGAAAGTGTGTTTGGTGACCTTCTTCCTCTCTAGAAGTCGGGTCATCCTCGTTCCCACCCCCTTCTGATCTCATCTGATTCAGTGTTACTCCTTATTGTTCCAGCAAGTCAGTAACCATTTCCAATCATGTGGTTGTGAAAACAATATTAATCACTTTTTATTAGTCACATTGCCTCATAGGGGTGTAACGGTATCCGTATTCGTCCCGTACCGTCACGGTTCGGACGTCACGGTTCGGTGCATGGAGTCACACGACGAATACACCTTTTTTTTACGAGTGGGAAAAAAGTCTGTCATTCAGGGCAGTATCCACTACACCAGTGGTTCTCAAATGGGGGTACGCTGACCCCTAGGGGTACGTTGGAGTACTGCAGGGGGTAGGCTACGTGAGATTTATTTTATGTTAATGAAAAAAACAACATAAGTAATACATTTAAAGTGGACCTATCATGCTATATTTGAATAATATAGTGTAGGACCATACCTATATAAGGCATATTTATACTTTTTTTTTTTTCAAAATACCAAACAGATCATGCATTTTAGCCATGCCTCATTTCGCTCAATTTGAAAAAATGTATTCAAAATAAATAAAAAACAAACCTGGAATTATACATTTGGGATATTATTATATAAGCACTGGTGTGCTTGATAGATCTGTCTATCTCTTGCAACAGTGCTGTGAAGTTTTATATCACTAGGAATCCTTCAAGGGAGTACATGAGGCCAATAGGTTATGTTCCAGTCCTTCAGCTATGCCACAGCGCAATTACATAACATTTTGAGATGCCTCAACTTGGATATTAATCTGCTGATCTGAACACAATCCCATGGGCCTCGGATTCAATGATCTGTGCTGACACCGAAGAGGGGGACTTGATGCTGTGGGGTTGAAACTGCTTTCTGAAATGGACCAGGGAGCATATCTGAAGTCCTCCAGATATATTTTGTTATGTAAAATCTGACAGTAAGTTAGTAGCCTATAGGAAAAATGGGGAAAAAGAAACTAGGAATATGTTGAACTTTGGGAACTTTGTTGACAAGAAAAAGTAAATATTTGAAATAACAGATACTGAATTAATTGGTGAAATTAGTTATTCATTTTTAAATCTAAGCTTAAAACCGAGGCTTAACAGCCTTTCAGTTTTACTGTGTGGTCAAAAGATAAGAAACTATTAATGACACAATGGATATGTGTAACAATTGTAAATATGCAGTGTTGTTTGGTGTCAAATATTTCTTAGTAATTAATTTGTTATAATCACACAGTGTTTTGTATTGAATAATTCTGTCTTCTTCCTTTACTAAACTTCATATTGTGTCCCTCACGTTTTGTGAATGTGTTCCACTTGAGAGGAGTCAGTGTGAGGGAAAACTAATTTAATAACGACTGATTTGTTATATATCTGTTGTCAGTAAATAAACGGAGATCGGCTCAACGGTATGCTGACTCGGGTCTCTTCCAACAAAAGAAACACAATGCAGACACCGCGTATCAACACCGGTTACATATGTTATCTTTGCAATTCTAGAAGGGAAATGTTTGGGTGTGATCTCTGCAGTTCTCACCCAGAGCAGCAGCTGCGTCTCCAGGTGCAGGTTTGGCTCTGGAGCGTGTCAGGGCCTCCAGGTCTTCTCCCAGTAGGAGCCGATGACTGGTATGTCCCAGGGATCTGGCAGGATGGAAGGACAGCGGGTAATGGCATCTGTACATCAACCGCTGCTTCCTTTGGCAGAGTCAGTGGTGTGTCTGGGGACGGAGGTGGCTGTTAGTGTGAGCTTCACTGCTTCATATGAAGGAGCATTCGGTAACATCGGTGACAGCAGGTCAACCGTTACTTGGTAGCTAGAGTCAGTCAGATTCCTGGAGATGCTATTGATGAGTTATTGATACCTAATTGGATTTAAAGATGTATTAATTCCTAAAAATATGTTTGCATTATACATTTGTCTCACTAGCTGTTGTATTTTTGAGCATTTGCAGACTGTAGACGTGCCACTCTTGATGAGAATGAAAAGATTGCACCCATCGATGCGAGTCATTGCGTGTGACATGAGTAATTAGTTTGTTGTGTGAGATCCAGCAGCTGGCACCGCTGTGTCAGAGCTGACCCTGCAGCTGGATGACACCACGCTGGCAGCAGATCACTGTACTTTCAAGTAGGTTTGACATCAAAACTGCAGCTTGATCAGTCACATTAAACTCAAAGAAATACAGAGCGTGAACAACCCATGCCAGAGTGAAGAGAGGCAGGAATATTCTTTAGTTTTCCGACAATAACAGGAAAAGGAGCAGGGCGTCTCCCTGCACCTGTGAAGGTCATTCCCAGTTTGAAGACCCTGAGAGATTTATCCGTGAAAAAAAGGCCTGGAGCTGCAGCTGGACCAATTTAACTACCTGGGAAACAACAAGAGGGGGTTGGTTAAATCAGAATCATTATTATCATGTTTAATTCATTTTGTCTTTACTTTAGGGGAAAAGAGCAGTGAACACAACACTGTTAATAGTTAATATGGCAAACTTGTGTGCAATCAGTTTCCTATTGACACATACTGCACATATAGGCGGCTGTGGCTCAGTGGATAGAGTGCTGGACTTTGAATCAGGGGTTAGCAAGTTCGTGTCCCACTGCAGTCAGAATGTCGTTGTGTCCCTGGGCAAGACACTTCACCCCAAATTGCTCCTGTGGGGATTGCCCACAGTACTGAATGTATGTAAGTCGCTTTGGATAAAAGCGTCTAACAAATTACATGTAATAATATAGACCTTCAGGGAAATGTCTGACTTTTTAGCTGCTAAATGCTCAATCTGATATTGTAAACAATGTTCTTTTTTTACTAACTCACCAACTTTACAGCCTTAGAGGCATTAAGCAAGAAGCGTCATGGCAGGTCAGATTCTTGTAATAATGTACGAGTACTGCAGAAAACTAAAAGGGTCTTCCCTCAGGTTGTCTGTACATGGTACACATCTGCAAGATGAGAAGTTCCAAATAACAATCTAACAGGATAAGACAATTTCCTAAGCCTTCTAGGAATATGGTGACCTTTCGACCCCCACATCTCATCCTTAGAAATGTTGAACAGTGTGCAAAATATGACCCGCAGGAAAAAAATAAACATTCAGAACAATGCAACTCTTTTTCTTAAACATATGTGACTATGTTGTTTTGACCTTGTGGACCTGACCGATATCCAGGCCTGTAATTGAACTCTGATGATGGGGCTGCAGGAGTATGTTGGCAGCCTGACACACATCAGGACAGACACACAGTGTACTGCTGCCAGTTACATGTTAAGAGCCAGCAGGAGAAGAGGGTGAGTCACATTAATAAAGTACAACTGTCTGCTGATAACAAAGAGATAAAGACCGTCTTACTGCTTAAAACCAGTCATTCAACACTCTGAATCTGTACTTTATTTAAAAGGTTTTTTTTTCGACGTTGGACACACATGATCGCTAAATCAGTGGATGTATTTACATTTATTTCAAAATCAAACCAATTCACTGGATATTGGTAGGGACATGTCCTATATGCTATGTCTTCGGATTATATTTTACTGTCACTAGTATCCGTGTACAATGAGTTCTTCAAGACTTGCTCTAAAGTGTGTTTTTACACTTGATACCAGAATGTGCCACTAGATGGCAGTCTATGAGAGCATATTCAGTAAATGGAGGCCCACAACAATGGCATCTTTTAAAGTATTCTTCTATTCACTTTGATGAAAGAAGTATGTATCATGTTGCTGAAAGTACCCTTAGGCATGGTAAAGCAGTGTGTTCAACTGTTTAAAGAGTTACTGCTCACACCCAAACCGCAGGTCATTCAAATTCAATAATCTCTTGCTTCTGTTTGGACACTCCCAGTTTGAGTCAATATACAATAGATTTTGCATGAATGCTTAGTTTCAAAGCAAATAGAACAACTGGGTTTCAAACAAACTTGAAGCAAAAATATTTAAGGCAATAGTGATCAGGCTCACACAGAAAATGCACTGAATGAGTTTTGTTTTCACTAAAGGAGTGTTTCATGCTCTGAACATACACAGCCACTACAGCCTTCGTAACAGGTTGTAATAATAACAACAATGATAAGGGGAAGCAAAAAGAGATTTGAAGTACAAAGAGAGAGGAGATGCACGTTGCTGTGTTTACTTCACTCTTCAGCCTTGTGCTTTTTATAGTGTGGAAACTACAGTTCAACAGTGTTGTCAAAATACAGAAAATAACAAGTACAAATACTTGCAAGATTGCAGTGGCTATATCTGTTGCTATGTGTAGTCAGCTGATTTTTGTGTCATGAAAAGACAAACCTTCAATGGTGCAACTATCCACCTTTCTTTCCTTTTAAGATCCTTGAAGGGTTTTGACATCATTTTACCATGACAACAGCTAGATTCAGTCCTGTTTAGTTGCAAATAGCATCAATTTTAATCCACAAATGCGGAGCTTCTTAAGTTTATCTACACAGGAAAATAAATGTTTAACATATCTTTTGTCTCCTGTCTGCCCGGTTCTTGAAAGATTTTTTTTCAGACAAATCCATGGCACAAAACAGAATGCATTTGATATAAAATACCCATGGCTGCATTCAAGGCACACGTGTATCGAAACTCAAAGATGCTCATCACAAAAGCGTGCAAACACATTTACTGTACATGCAAACGCAGAAACAAACACAAAGGCACTCCCTCACAAACACACACTTATGTGCAGGTATAGTAAACAGAGAGGAAAACTGCGTGGAGCGTATTTTAAAGCTGTGGCAAACAAACGTTTCTGCTTTGTGTCCCTCATCTGTTTATAGAGAATTTGTGTTATTTCTCTGATCCACTACTCAACAATGCCTCAGGGATTGAGCCTAAACAGGCGCAGTTTATGCCTTATTATGTATGGCCTGTATGCAAATGCAATGGTGACAGTGAGCAAAAACCTTTGATCTGGGCTTCTTTGTGGCCTGAACAGTTAAAGCAGCAGAAGCATCATGAATCTGACGAAGGAATGCGGTGTTGAAATTGTGAATAGAATCAGGGTAACCGGATAACTTTGCTTCTGTTGTAAATGAAGAGCTCATACTGCCTCCTGCCTTAGAAAGCCTACATTATCATGAGGTCAATGACTGTATCTGCACAAAATTGGCTTTGACAACACTGCAAAACAAGTTGTTAGATGGTGAGCTAACACACAGAGATTCCCCCCAAATAAAGAATTATAAAGCTTGTTGTAAGTGTGATGAGATGATGAGCAGTCATAATAACAGGGTCTTCACCTAAAGCCATTCCTTTCTACTCATAGTCCCTGCCTGGATCATAATGTAAAAAAAATGAGCAAATGAATCCAGTAATTTTCTCTTAGTTTACTTGTTCATAAAAATTGAATGTGTTTTGAACAATAGCCACTTAAGTGAATCTGTTTTAGTGTTCCCTCTGGTTCTGGCAAAGCAGGCAAATAAAACCATCTTTATCCAATAAATCTGGGAACAAACTGTACGCTCTCAAAACTGATTTGAATGACCAAAAGGTTTCATTTAGTTAAGACTTTACTATCTGTTTTCATGTAGGTGTTTGTTGAGACACTATTTGGGAGATATTTGTCCTTTTGTTTGGGATTTTATAATTGACTGTCTGCTATGCTTTGGCACAAAATGCCAAACATGGAACAAACTTACAACAATGCACGCCACACCAAACTCTACAAAATTAGTTTCGAATTACATTTACACAGTTGGTGTTTTGTTGGAAAATAGAGACAGAGACAGGGTGTGTCTCTATGCTGCTCTCATTCAGCCCCTATAAGAAAACGTTATCTCTGTTCAGATCTAAGTTTCACTTCAGAATTATCCAGCTGAAACAATTGCAAACACTCTTTCTTTGGATTGTACCCATGCACAACATAACATAATTTGTATCCAAAAATGTCATAAAAGATCACACACGCAAACACAAATAGCTGGAGTGAAAAGGTTTCTTTTATTCCTACTGTGTCAAGGTAAATACAGAAAAAGCTCTTGGTGTGATTTATTAAGCAATGTGCCCTCGTTCTCTGGTGAGTCATCCTTTGATTTTCATTTCTAAAGATGCCATTTAAAAAACGGATGCTATAGAAACAGACAGAGGCTTCGGCTTTAAAGGAGGGGATAATGCCATCTGGATTTATAAACAAACCAAACTCTGATCTTAAGCAGATTTACTGAGAGGTAATACCCGGGGTATACAGACACATGTCAGCAACAATACATCTGTTAAATCATGCGTGTTGCCAGGTAAATGTTGAGGTGGAGGGAATAACTTTGCAGCCTGTGACAGAGATATTAGTTATGATGGCTCTTTAGTACGACTGCTGGCCCATGGGTGTGAAAAGCTTATCCCACAACTCCACCTTCATCACAGCGTTACCCAGAGGGCTCATGGTGGCCTTGACATCTAGATATTTTCCCACGTAATTGATACCTGACCCAGTGCACTCCTCCCTGACAAACCCGTGCTCATGCTGTTTTTTCTCATAGTACATTTGTTTGTATAACTCCTTATCACAGATTTGGCCCTTTTTATAGAGGCCCACTGCGAACCAGTTCTTGTACAGGTTGTAGTCCCATGGAACCGAGAACATGATGGCCAGCGTCTCGATGTAGTCGTTCTGCGACCTCTCGAACAGGTCGTAGGTCATCACACCAATTGCACCGGTCGCTTTGCCGCCCGACTTAGAGAAAGTGCACACTTCTGTCTTCAGAGGGCGCACTGTAGGTTGGGGTGGGTTGTATGTCTCCCCATTCTCAATGAACACCCTATAAGCAGCACATAAAACAGACACATGTATTACACATAGTCTTTTGGATCTATAACATACTTTTCAAACAAGTCTTTAAATTCATGAGAAAATATCAGGACTTACCTTGGTTTGATGAGGCAGTAGTTGTTAGTGACGTTTGAGATTTCAATGGTAACACTTCTCTTGCTGTGCACATCGGCCGCTACAGCTTCAGCTGACTCCATTATGTTGGAATGGGTGTGAGATCAGCTTGTAAAGCAAAGGTAATTTAGGTGTTAGACATTTGAAATAAACAACATCCCAGCTGTGAATAGCACTCCCCTCCAACCAGGAGGATCACACTTACTAAATATGAAATATATTCCTGACCTCTGTTTTGCACCTAAACTGGCATGGGGGTGTGAAATCTAAACTCAGAGGCTAATGATATTTCAAAAACATTTGTGAAAAATCTGAATATAGCTGCAGACTGTCTATGTTATTACCACTTCAATTATAGCACTAAGTAGCATGCAATAATGAAGTTGGAGTGAAAACTTTGGAGAAAATGATCGGCCCTTTTATCAACAGATAAGATACACATCAAACCAATGCCCCTTCAGGCTTCTGAATGCCTCTACAAATGGCTTTTGTATTAATCTAATAAGTCATTTTCTGTACCGCGTCAAATCAAGTTCTTTTAATAAAGTACTTTCCAAAAAGGAAATAACTGACTTACCTGCTAAGAACCTCTGTTGATGCTCCTAAGTCCGTAAATGCAAAAAGTTACCTGGAAGGGAGTTGCCCGCAGTTTTTTTTCTTTTCTTACAAGGACATATTCCATCCCCCAGCAAACCATCCCACTTGTAACACAATACAAGTTGGAAAGCAACCGCCCACTTCCAACACATTTCTTTGGAAATACTCCTGTGTTTTTGCCAGTGAGATGAAACTGCCACACCTTAGTTTGTGGAAAAGTTTCCAGCAGTTTCCTGGATCCCAAACCTGTTTTGTAAGCTGGGATCATTAACTCAGCACATCCATTTTCTCCTACAGAAATGCTGCTACATGGACTGAGGTGGTTTGGTAATCTCAGTGGAATGGTGCAAAACAGACAAAAGCAAACTGAACAAGTTGAGACAGACATCTCTGAAAGAAAGGGTTGTCACTGTAATTTTCTTTTGAGGGGCTATGCTTATGTTTCGTTATAGTTGTAATTTCTAGTACCTTAGGGGTGCCGGGTCAGACTGGCACCAGTGGAAACGTGGCGCCACGTAAACAGAGTAACATACAACTTCATATTTTCATCTGGTATCTTAAAATACATTCCTGGTCAGAAATGAAGTTCTTTCTGGACATCCTACAGCGGGTCAGACCCCGGTTATTAACCAGTTTCGTGGTTTTTTCAACACAATAACCACTAGAAAAGATGGAGAGTGTCAAAGCCAGTGAAGAACAGTATTGTTATCATGCCAATTAAAAAAGACCTCTAAGCAGATATTCCATCTGTTGCCACTCATTAGAATGAGATGGATCCAGCGTCGAGATTAAAGAATGATTATAGTTCATAAGTAATAATGAAAGCATACTGAGTGAGAACATATCCCACACAACACAGGCATTGGGTGTAAATGTTTTATTATCATAATCAGATAAAAAGAGAGAGTACAATATACATAAACCCAAGAAGTAAGCTAATGGAGAATCAATGAGCTGGCTGTCAGATATTGATAGCTTTCAGTGGACACAAATAGAAGATGACAGCAAAATCAGTCTTCCTCTCCCTTCTATGTTTCTATGGATGTCACATGAAGCAAATCAAATGAAGTTTATTTATTCTGTTACAAAGCACAAAACTAACGACCCATTTTATCATAGAGCTCCAGTTTAACAATTGCTTTGCCAATAGCAGACATTGTAGCCCTCAAATCAACATATGTAGCATGGTATTCCAGCCCACAGCCGTGTGTCTCTGAGCGGACAAACTTAGTGAGGTCTTTCCCATCGTACAGCATGTTGTACAGCTGCTTGTCGCAGGCATGGGATTGTTCAACCATGCCCACGGCCAGCCGGTTCTTGTACAGGTTCTGGTCAAAGGGCACAGAGAACATGACGGCTATGCGCTCTGAGCAAACCCGGCTCTGCATATGGAACAGGTCGTAGGTCAGCAGGCCGACGGAGCCCGTGGCAGTGTTGTCGTCCTTCGTGAAGGAGCACACTTCGGTCTTTCCAGTCCGGACCGTAGGCTGGGGCGGGTGCTGACAGAATCCACTCGACATGTAAACCCTACACAAAAGAGCCAGAGACAACCCTTATTGTCACAATCAAGATAACTTACATGTCACTCTTACAAGACTTTTGATGAAAAACAAGAGTTTGGCAAGTTCTTTGGACATTGTCAGTGTACTTTTCAAGTGTTGGGCTTTCCAGGGTCCCCGGAAATATATGTTGATGGATGGAGTGTGACTATGCCAGTACTGCTGTGGACTTCTAAGCAACAGTGAGTGTACCTGCATGCAATGTGCAATGAGGCGTTGTGTGTCACTGCATGATGGATAGGTGGATGTTCTCAGCAAAGTGATGTCACACATGAAAACCACCCATCCAAAATATGGTCTGTCCTGCCTCAGCTAGATAAATGTGGAGGTATGGTAGGAATTCCAATAGACATGGGTCGTTTCTGTATTTTATTGTTTTGTTTTATTTATTTCCTTTTGTTAGCAGAAGTGGAAGAAACCGGCAGAGACCCTTGTGGTTGATTGACAGTTTAACTCTACTTTAAATTAAGTACAATACAACTACATTGAATTATCATTGACTTTTAATGCTGTTTCTATGACTTATGGAGAGAAAAAGTTGTGGATACTACATTTCCGAAAGCATTGCACATGCTAATAGTATCAAGATGCTAATCTGGAGCTATAATCAGGCATTGCGATCTTAAAGCAAGGTATTAAACCTTTTGAAAATGAATACTTCTCCCTGAAATCAAACCTGTCCTCAAAATTGAGTAATCTAACAGGCCATGATACTAGTGCAAACAACTATGTGGATGCAAGTGGCTCATAGATTGAGCTTTGATAAACTGACATTTTCATCACATTATCATTGGATGTATGAGGACAGTCATTCATTTGTATTTTTCCAGTAAAATAATTGTGCCTGAATGAATCATTTTCATAGGTATGTGAAAACAGTTACAGACTTACTTGGGGTTGATGAGGCAGTATCCAGCGCTGAGGTTGGTGATTTCTATGGTGCAGTTTCTGTTGGTGGTGAGAGTGGCTGACACAGCTTCTGCATTTTCTGTCATCTTTGCTGCAAGAGGAACGGGACGAAAAGCTTAGAACAGTATATCTGCAAAGAGGTCACCCTCACGCAGGAAATGTGGAGGAAATGGATACTTCTCTTTTGTTTAAGGAAGGTGAAGGAAGGTCGAAAAAATGCATATTTTAAAGCCAAATCAAGATTTTCCTTCTTCAATAACACAACTCCTGAAAACGATTTATCCGTACATATTCTTTAGTCTGTGTTTACAAATATTAATAAAGCTTATATGAGAACTGTTGTTGTCTAAGAGTACATCATAACAAAGACATAGTTCACACTTAATTTATTATCTTGCTATAAGTAGGAGTAATGACAGTATATTCACCTTTTGGAGTTAACACACGAGTCGTGCTAGGCAGCGTCAAGTTCCCTTTTTCACAGATCCAGCAGAGAGGTGGAGAGTGTCTCCCTTGTGTGATTACACCTCCACAGAGCTTGTTCCAACACAAGCACAGGCGTGTCCACCGAGGAGTGAGCAAACACCATCCCTTATGGAAAATGATATCTTAATAAGAGACCACCTTATAATATCCCACTATAAAGTAAACATCATAAATAATTCTAACGAGGGGAGCCATCAAACTAATTCATGTATTTATTAGACAGCATCTGTGTCAGCATGTTTGCCTTCACAGCAGACATGGGTGGTATTGATATTATTTTTGTATGTTGAGGCTTGAGGTGATTTGAAAGAAAATGCGTACCTAATGCAGCACATTTTGTGAAAGCTTATCATATTATCTACTCTGTAGTTTAAAATGTTTAAAATAGTTTTTCTTTAGTTCTTTTTAAAATTGTAATTCATTTTAATTTGCTAATCTTTTCAAAGATATGTCCTTTTTGCCTTTGTTGGACCCTTTGCAGCTCAAACAAAGAACTTTATGGAACATTTCACGCTGTGACTGGCTTAGAATGTAGTCACTATTCCCCAAACATTGCTCAACTGATTACTTGTTTGCAGGTGAAGGCTCGCAACTTTTTCCTGTGGGAACCTACCTACACCACCAGTCACACATTTCAACACACTGTCTGACTCCTATATCACTACATATTTTACTCCCACAGCAGTGTGGGGCAGAAGAGGAGACACTCCCTTCTAACATGTAGGAACAATAACAATGTATTATGTATCACAGCATTGTACTCTGCGGTGTTGTATTTATCCGTAAGATTATACAGACTGAGGGTCTGCTCAATTAAGTATGTTTTGCAAACTTAGTCTGTTTCGAGAGGTATTCATTATTCCACCAGCCAGCTCAAGTTATATTATGGCAGCTGTTCTATATCATACATCAGGCGCCTGGAACTAGATTTAAATCCTTCAACTCCAATGCTTGAAGTCACCAGATGGCACCAAACATGCATTTGCAAAAAGACATTTGCACTACATAGACTTTTTCAGTTAATGTTTGCTTTCTGATGGGTAGCCAGTGACCATGGCAGAAAGTCTGTGACAAACATTACATATTCAGCATGCCCGTCATTATGTCCTGTGAAAAGGGCAAGGCTGCATTCAAATAGTCGTATAGGTGCAATACTTAATATCAAGAGCTATAAGTATAAATTGAAAGAATGAAATAAAGTTGGTCTAGAATTACATTTTATGCTGAAATGCATTTTTTTTGTATCTTCAAAATTAGAAATCTTGACAATCTGTTCAATCCAAGAAAAAAGATTAAGCCCCAAAGCTTCCCATGGCACATCAAACCAAAGAACCACTAGTCTTAGAAATGCACTTCAAAGATTTTAAAATGCAACAAACAAAACAACCAAATCTTCTATTTACTACAATAATTTGACAGCCATTGTCGTACAACACAACATGATCTATTCAGTAACACATAATCAATGGATCTGCCAGAATGGATTTAATGTTCCTCCATATTCTATTTAGCAGGTGAGTTAAGTTGAATCACAGTTTCTGAGCGCAGTCTGTAAGAGGCAATTAAGAAAGTGACAATACGCAAGTCAGTCATTTTTATTCATAGGTTATGGTGACAAAGATAAATGTATGCTTAACATGAAACCATGTTCAATAATGGTGGCTTTAGTATCAGTATCTTAACCTCTGCATGTCACTCAAGTGACTTTTTGTATGTTGGACATTTTCCGGTCGAATTCCTATATGAGATGTTCATATCTGACAGATCTAAGTTGAAGCTGAACAAAAACAACCCTAATTATTACTGAAAACTCTGTTCCCATTAGCTTGCTTGTTTACTCGTTTGTGTGTCCAGCCTTAATTAAACTGTAAAGTGAAATGTTATGTCAGCATGTTGTCACCAGAAATGTCTCTACCACACTGAAAACAGCTGAGCAATGGAAGTTCATTTGTGGCAAGACCTTGATGACATTAAAATGTTTTTGTTGGCTTTAGAGTCACTATGTGTGACAATCAAAGGCTTGAACCCGCAGGCCCACTTTGTGATTAAGGCCAAGTTAAGCTTAAAGGTTGCAATAGGAAGTACGGAGGACAAAGGTCAGCGAAAAGGTCATCAGCACTAAGGACGAAACAAGACACCGGGCAGCA